TGCACATGGAGGTTCACAAAGTGCTGCACCTGCCACGAAATCTGCACTCGGAGCTCCACAAAGTGCTGCGCCGGCACGCAATCTGCACCTGGAGGTTCACAATGTGCTGCGCCTGCCACGAAATCTGCGCATGGACGTTCACAAAGTGCTGCGCCTGCCACGAAATCTGCACCTCGAGGTTCACAAAGTGTTGGGCCTGCCACGCAATCTGCACATGGACGTTCACAAAGTGCTGCACCTGCCACGAAATCTGGACATGGAGGTTCACAAAGTGCTTTTTCCTGCCACGAAATCTGCACTTCAAGAAACAAGTGAAAACTCTAATCCCAATGGAGGGACGATTCCGACCATGCCCGACCATGATCCGAGCATGATCCGAGAATGACCCGAGACCGTCTCGCACCCGTCGTTCCGCAGAGCTAGACTTGCCAGGTTTGAAGCCACCGGTTCTATTGAAAAATACAGCATTTCGTGCGTCCGCTATCTCTCCAAAACGCATTTTGTATTGCGCCTGCCACGAAATCTGCACCTGGAGGTTCACAAAGTGCTGTGCCTGCCACGAAATCTGCACCTGGAGGTTCACAAAGTTCTGCGCCTGCCACGAAATCTGCACCTGGAGGTTCACAAAATGCTGTGCCTGCCACAAAATCTGCACATGGAGGTTCACAAAGTGCTGCGCGTGCTACGAAATCTGCACATGGAGGTTCACAAAGTGCTGCACCTGCCACGAAATCTGCACCTGGAGGTTCACAAAGTGCTGCACCTGCCACGAAATCTTGCCATGGAGGTTCACAAAGTGCTGCGCCTGCCACGAAATCCGCACATGGAGGTTCACAAAGTGCTGAGTGGTGTATGATGAGTGGTGTATGATGAGTGGTGTATGATGAGTGGTGTATGATGAGTGGTGTATGATAAGTGGTGTATGATGAGTGGTGTATGATGAGTGGTGTATGATGAGTGCTGTATTGAACAGCTGTTGAATGTCCGCAACACGGAAGTTTTGCACACTAAACTTCCTTTGATCACCATGTCAGACGTAAACGAGCTTTTCAAGAACAACTTAGAAGTCAAAAAGAAACCCCGTGGTTACAACTCATTCGTGGCATCTAATAATAATCACACATATCAAATAGGTATATGTTTTCCACAGAAATTCAGGGGTGGTTTGGTCGCCACTGACGTTCTAAGTATATACGCGGTGGTAGTTCCTATTGAGAGTAAAGAAATTCCTGACGTCATAGCAGGAACCATGGAGGCACTACAGAAAATGGGAAAGAAACCCCAAATCATATACACTGACGACGAAGGGGCGGTTACCAGCAACGACTTTAGGCAGTATGTTGAAGACGAAGCAAAAAAGGCTTGGTGGTCAGAAAGAAATGTTCGTGGGTCCAAACGGAAGGATTGCGGGGGTCAAAAGAAAAAGACCGCGGGTCAGAAAGAACGGATTGCGGGGGTTAAAAAAGAAGGACCGTGGGTCAGAAAAAAAGGATTGATCACGGAATGCTGGGGAGTAAAAAAAGAAGGGTTGTGGGTCAGAAAAGAAGGGTTGGGGGTCAGAAAAGAAGGCCTATGGGTGAGAAAAGAAGGGTTGTGGGTCAGAAAAGAAGGGTTGTGGGTCAGAAAAGAAGGGTTGTGGGTCAGAAAAGAAGGGTTGTGGGTTAGAAAAGAAGGATTGCGGGGGTCAGAAAAGAAGGTTTGTGGGTCAGAAAAGAAGGGTTGTGGGTCAGAAAAGAAGGGCTGCGGGGGTCAGAAAAAAAGGTTTGTGGGTCAGAAAAGAAGGATTGTGGGTCAGAAAAGAAGGGTGCGGGGGTCAGAAAAGAAGGGTTGCGGGGGTCAGAAAAAAAGGTTTGTGGGTCAGAAAAGAAGGATTGCGGGTCAGAAAAGACGGGTTGTGGGTCAGAAAAGAAGGGTGCGGGGGTCAGAAAAAATGGGTTTGTGAAAGTATTGGATCACACGGACAGCACCGTCATTCAGATGAAGAAGAGAGGGATGCAGAAGGCTCTCGGTAGAGCGTGCCCGGGGTGTACGAGGTCACGCAACACGGGCTGCGGGTCCAACAGTTTTGCGGGGTCAAAGACAACAGCGCCGTGGGTTGGAAAAAAAGGCTTGGTGGTCAGAAAGAAAGGTTCGTGGGTCCAAACGGAAGGATTGCGGGGGTCAAAAGAAAAAGACCGCGGGTCAGAAAGAACGGATTGCGGGGGTCAAAAAAAAAGGACCGTGGGTCAGAAAAAAAGGATTGGTCACGGAATGCTGGGGAGTCAAAAAAGAAAGGTTGTGGGTCAAAAAAGAAGGGTTGGGGGTCAGAAAAGAAGGCCTGTGGGTCAGAAAAGAAGGGTTGTGGGTCAGAAAAGAAGGGTTGGGGGTCAGAAAAGAAGGCGTGTGGGTCAGAAAAGAAGGGTTGTGGGTCAGAAAAGAAGGGTTGTGGGTCAGAAAAAAAGGGGGGGTCAGAAAAAAAGGGTGCGCGGGTCAAAAAAAAAGGGAGCCCAATCATCATCACCTGATAGATCTGATAGGTTCGGGTGACAAAAGCTGACAAGCTGGACATTTAAAGGTCTCAGTTTCTGCATTGAAACCGTTGCCAAACAAGTGTCTTCTCTAATCAAAGAGGTTTTTCATGGTTTATCCATGATCGAAGCTTCCAACATCATCTCATCTCATCTCCTCTCCTGACTTCTTACATAATCACTTGCTTGAAGATCCGTGCCCCGAACCTCATATCGTCGAAACCCAAACGGACGTCCTTCTCGTCCAATCGGACTGAATCGGTCAGGCCTTTTTGAGGGACAACCAAAAAGCAGCGCCTGTCCCTGCGATCAATCTGAAGGGCTACAATGTCGTTGAACGGTGGTGAACACACTGCCAGTCTTCCTTCGACGGAGCAACTGGGGCACCCAGCAACTGAGCGTTGCATTTCGGAGCGATCGGGAGAGTCTCGGTGCTCCTGGCGGTGGTGTTCACCACTCGGAGATCCCGAGTTGTGGACTCATGATGACGTGGAAAGTATGTGACTCATATTTAGTTAGGACTATCATAGGTGAAATCATAATTAGGTCACGTCCAAGAAGAACTCACCGTCCGTGAAGGCATGAACACATGCTCCACTTCTGCGGGATCTACACTGTGAGTTCTTTGCACTTTGATTCTTCCAACCTCTGGTTCGATGAACCTCTATGACTCCATTAAAATCATTAGCAGAATTTAAGGCCCTAAGATGTGCGTGTGTCTAATAGGTTGAACATGGTTGAACATCAAGAAACTCTCGAGATGCTTTGGAGTACCAGACGCAGAAACCACAATCTTATGAACATCGCCGGTCTGCTACACTCGACCCTTTTCCCAAACCACCATCCAGATGTTGTATCTCTTCTAAACTACCTCACTATATATGTATATTAATATATATAATATATACATATATCAATTATATATCATATATCCTGAGATATTATAAATCTCCACTAGAGAACTGTATTGGAAACCGTGCCACTCTCCATTTGGGGACCACTACAGTGGCTCCTGACATCCCCTTGCGGCTCCTTGGACGCCGTGGATCGCTCCCGACCTCCGGTTGGATCGGTTGGATCGGTTGGGATCCGGATGACGGTGGATCAAACGGTGGAGACCCGGTGGTTGACGGGATCGATGGACTTGGGATCAACTTTTGGGGGTTCGTCGCATTTGATGTTGATGCCCTTTGGCGGACTATCTAACACACGCCCGTCCAACAGGACACTTGGAGCGGGCCTCTATCTTCAACTCTCAGAACGATCGCATCCTTTGACCCTCACACCCCTGGACTGCCGCAAGTTCAGCCCTTTTTCGGCATGGTCACCACTGCGCGAGCAGGTCCCACTGCCGCTCCCACACCCGGTCAATTTCGCTTGGATTGGTCAAAGCGGGGTTGGCAGGTGGATGCAGGTGGGCAGGTGGATGGAGGTGGGCAGGTGGGCCAATCTGCCTCACAAACAACCATTTGTTCTAGCAGCTGTCCCGAAAGAGGAAGGGAAGTATGAAGGGTGAATCACACGTAAGCGAGCACGCTGCAGTAATGCGACGTTCAGCACTTGTTCAGGTGTTAGAAGATGGACCTGGATCTCATCTCACAAGGATTCGTTGATCAGCCGTTGAGTTGGTTACCTCATGTTACCTCGGCGTTTGTCTCGACAAACCCTGGCTCTTGTCCGCCTGGTTGTTTTGATACCGTGTTTCCCACAGCAGTTCCCACAGCCTCAACAGCACCAAAATAATGCATGTCTAGGCTTTCGCTTTTGAGGCGGAGTTGCTCGAAACCCAGCCTTCTTAACGCCCTCTTAATTGGTTTAGGTGGTTCAAATACGTCACCCGACCAAGACCTCCCAAATCCATTCTTGGGTTGGAACTCATCTTGGGCAGCCACGGCATCGGCTCCACTGACATCTGACGTCACTGAGGTGCAAAACCATCCATCAATGGGTGGGTAGCAGGAGGGTCTTTGAAGCCTCACGGACCGCTGCCTGAGGCCCCAGCTTCGCTCCTTGCTGCGGCCCTTGCGACTGCGCGATGGCCCTTGGCTTCGCTCCTTCCGCCGATGAGGTCGGCTGGACTCCTGCAGGCCCATGGGGGGTCTGTTCGGCCCGGGCTGGACCAGCGGACTTTCTCAGCTTCTCAGGAAGAGGATCTGCTGCTCACAGCTCTCCTTGTAAGGGGAAAACGAAACAAGCCATGGCAATCCACGGCACTCCTTCACTTGGTGCAACCGTCCTCGCAAGTTAGGCTAAGGAACATCCCAAAATCCACCTAACAATTCTTGGGATCGACATTGAACAAAGGCTGCAGGCCAAGCACCTTGCGACCTACCCAACAAGCCTGCGGCGCTGCAGGAAGCTGCCCTGGCAGGCCAAAAGTCACAAGCAACAAAGAGTCTTCCTTAAATCAGCCAAGTATGGAAACAAATCGAACAAATTAACCGTGAATGCCCTCAAAGTTCTCAACATGTTCTGATGTTGGATGATGTTGTTGTTGTTGTTGTTGTTGTTTTCAGTTCTTAAAAACCTCGGTCTCACCCATCACTGTCACTGGCCACTGATACTCCGCAGCTCTGCCGGCTTGGTTTGTGAAAGATCAAAAGCAAAACACTGAAGAAAAAACAACAACAAAACTGTCCGGGAAAAAAGACAACAAAACAACCAAACATTCCACAACATATTATATCAAAAAACATTAAACAACTATCAGTTCCCTCTTCTCTTTCATGACCCTTCCATGACCCAGGTGGGATATGGTGGGATCTTGGCAATAGGCTCTACTCACTGGGTAAATCTTCTCAACCCAGACCTACCATCACTACTTCAAGAATCCTAAAGTTTAAGCTTCTTACTCTGTTCCAACATGACACTTGCCACGTCCATTTTGCCTGGCAGGTACAGCACGGTCAGATTTCCACACCCGTTTAAATTTACAATACTTATAAGGCTTTCAGGTGTGGAAATCTGACCGCAACTTAGGTGTCGACATGTTGCAGGTAGGATTCTATTCTAAGGGGAAAGGGTTTGTCCCGTTTTAGAAGTCAAGAAGCGCAACTTTCGGCACCCCAGCGTATACGATCGAGAAAAAGAGCAACTGGTGAGCAGATGGTGAAACAAATTGAAAAAGGAGGAACGGCAAACGCCTTGATATCTGTCGAGGACTCAACAACAGCGCTTTTGGATTCGCGACGACCCGTGGAGCCACAACGTGGGTCCTGCCGGTACTCAGCAGCCGGGGCAGTCCGATATCTTTTGATCGGGTTTCTTCGCTGGTTCGGTTCATCTCAGTACAGAAGGTCACCGGACAGCACGACCACATAGACAAAGGATGAAACAGGATGAAACAGGAACTTGTGCTTTGACTCTTGTAAATGTTCCATTTATCGAGAGTATCGAACGTACGATCAAAGTCCGGGGGGCCATGTCGGTATCTCAGGCCCTCCGCAGGCCTGTTGTGGCTGTGTTGGGACCTCCCTGACCAAACCACCTGGTCAGGGCCCCTGCACGCCCCGCAGGTCTCCCGCGAATCCGCTTGCGCCTGGCAGATGTGGCCGTACGTGGGGCTCCGGCACGTGCGTGCCTGGCAGCGGGATGATGCTGAGAAAGGTCTAGTGCTATGACAAGTGACAATCCAAATAGGGGGTAATCAGTCTATACAGTACCTCAAAAGAGACATAAAGAGACCGACCTTGTAGCCACGTCCCGTTGCTTGGCCAGCTTCGAAGTACTTCAACTTGGGTCGCCAAGTGACCGGCCCAGCCCAGGTCTCTCATCAGTGTCAGATTTCGGGAGATCAAGAGCCGCCAAAAAGGCGAGACACTGTTGCAGGATCTGGGATGATCATGGATGATGTGGGTATGGTACATTTATGGATGCGCCAATTCTGGCGGATGGCTCATGACATCTCGATGTCCCATGTATATCCATGTGTCTCATCATTCATAATTGGCCTGCGGTATATGCTATGTGCATGGCTCCAGACCGGAATCCGCTCACCCGCGGTGGTTGGTCTGTTTCCACCACGTCTACGGGCCGAGGCGGCCGAGATCGCGTCCCAAGCGCGCATCGTGCAGCATCCCCTCACTCCCCACCAGGCCTACCACCGGCCACTCGCGATTGGTCACCGGGTCCAGGTCGAAGCGTGAGACCTCCGGGCGCCAGTGGCCCGGGCTCCAATGGCGCGCGGTCCTTGGGAGGAGTGAGGTTGAGGGTATGCGGATCCGAGAGACCGAGAGATGGTGCGAGATTCGGTCATTCCTGGTTGATCCCGTTGAAGCTCCGTGGGATTCTGTGATTCCTGTTGATCGGATATGATTTTTGACATGATGTATTTGGAGAGGTCCGGTCAGTCTTTAAAAAATAGACCTAAGAAGGGGTAGCGAAGCCAGCAAGAGAGCGCAGGCCCACAACTACGGTGCAGGGAGACACTTTTACTCCTGTCAGCAGGGCAGCTCGGAGTTCTGGATGCGTCTGACATGATACTCTGATACTCCTGCATCTGTTCACAGTTTATGATCGTTCAACATCGAACGAGGGTAGCTCAGAGTTCTGGATGCCTCTGACATGACTCTGGATGCATCCGCCAAAATCAATTAACCTCACCCCAGGCTATGATGAAAACCGCACTTTTGGTCCACTCTCCCCCAAACCACCTAATTATCCCAACCTCTTTCGCAGAAATAACTTTGGTTAGTTTATCGACTAGCTTTGTAACAGAAATTGCAAAAGTGAGGAGACTATACAAATGTCTAAGGAGTTCAAGTGATCTCTTGGGAGCAATGAGTAATCCTTTCTGCTTGGCTGGGACTTTGAGTGTCAGCCAACACATCGCAATTCTTTTGAGATTGAACTACAAGTAACATCCATCATGATACTCCTCCTCCTCCTCCTCATCATCATCATCATCATCCATCTCCATCATCATCCATCTCCATCATCATCATCATCATCATCACCATCATCCTCATCCTCATCCTCATCCTCCTCCTCCTCCTCCTCCTCCTCATCATCATCATCATCATCATCATCCTCATCCTCATCCTCATCAATCCTCATCCTCATCCTCATCCTCATCCTCATCCTCATCCTCCTCCTCCTCCTCCTCCTCCTCCTCATCCTCATCCTCATCCTCATCCTCATCCTCATCATCATCATCATCATCATCATCATCATCATCTCTTGAACCCATGAACTCTCCCAGCCACCCTGGCTGCCGGCCAACACAACCGCGCCTTTTTTGCCGCCAAGGCACAGCACCGCGGAAGCGGGGTCCAGGTGGAAGCGTGCACTTTCCGGGCCGTGGAGCACACTCTGCGGACCCTCCTGAAGTGGATTAAAGCACCCCGGCGGCGGGAAGACGTGGGTCATGGACGGGCCAAAGTGTTGGCCAACGGATTGGCAATTCCAATATAGACTCTTGGATTATTAGACATGTTGTGAAATCTACTCGCCCATCCTGTCCGGCAGAAACAGGCATTTTGCACATCTTTCACATGAACTATATATACGCTATATACAGGATCCAGGATACAGTAATCGAATGATCGAGGAGAACAAGGAAAGCGTCGATCTCTTTCTTATGATTTGACAGCTCCGGACACTTTCCAAAAAAGGTCAATCAATCTATTTTTTTGGTGTGTGTGTGTGTGACAAGCGATGTCCCATGAAATCTGCAGAAAGGACTGCGTTGCTTGGAACTTCTTATGCCAAGTCTCCAAGTACATTTGCCCCTCCAGCGGCACAAAGACCGCCTCGGCGTTTTGCACCCGGGAGCCTGCTGTCTTTACCCGGTTGCAGCCCACCAAATCAAGGACCATCAATTAGGAGGTGACGGTGTACAGGAACATCTTTCTGAATCATCCTAAATCCTGGCTTTCTCACCATTTCGTGAACTGTACGATTGCCGAGGCACCCCAGTGCGGCCCGGCACTGGACTGCCGCTGTGCTGGCTACGCCCAAGGACGTCCCGTTGCGTCCGCGGTGTGGCTGTCTGGCCCAGGCGCGTGCGGTTTTGGGGGTCTTGAAAGGAAAAGGGACCAGTGTTTTCCTATGAGGGAGTCTGCTTCGACCCATCCTGCAAGCTGTGCTTTGGAACACCAAAGTTCAGTTGCGTTACTTCTCCTTCCTCTCCCTGAAAGCTTCCTTGTTGTACGGGAGTGCCACAGCAACTCAACTGTCGCTGCCTCACTGGGTGCCGTTTGCTTTAGAGGTGAGGAAGTTGTGAGGGAGCAAAGTTCGCAGTCAAAAAACACATCCCTTCGAAGACCTTCCAGACCTGATGGTCATGGATTGATCTTCAAACACCATCAAACACCAGTTTTCTCTTGGAAGACATCCTGCACCACCCCAACAACCTTGGGTCCTATTGACAGCATTTGGGGTGCTTGCTTCGGTGCCGCAGCACATCTTCCCTATTCTGCACCCGCACCCGTGTGGCTGATGGCGCCTGGGATGCGGGCGGCGTGACTTTCTGGGACTTCTCGCGCTGCTCACGGCGCTCCTCAGTGCTGCACGCGTAGTGCTGCACTCAGTACGTGTGATGCCAAAAGGAAGGATTGTGATCTTGGACTTAGCTATTGTTCTGATCTGGCCGTCCGCAAGGAGGGAAACCGTGGAGAATGGGTCAGTCTTTGGGTCGTTCGAACCTCAGGATCAAGATCTCTTTCAAAACCTCTGGCAATTGGATGTAGAGAGGGTAGAACAAAAATAGACCTGCAGCAAACTAGGTCGTTCCCCTCATCAAAATGCAAAAAAAATATGTGCCAAACCTAGATGCCCGCCATGACAAAGGCCCTGGCCTGCTGTTGTTCAACGGCTTAAAACAGGTTCAGGCGCTCCAACATGTCGCTCCAGCACTTCAGGTCCGGTTGCCCTAAACATCGCTTCCTATTTCCATGACCTCCTCAGCACCCCAAATCCTCCACGATCTTCGTGTGCTCGGCACCCGCCACCCAAAACCCGCCCAACCTGCGCTGGTTCTCGTCCCAGTGGCAATGAGCTGTTGCACCCGACGTTCCAAGGCCAAGCTCCGTGCCTCACCTGCAGGACGAAAAAAACCTTCCGGCCATGGGCCAATGAAGAAGAGGGTGATATGCTTTAAAGGGGTGATGTGTCCGAGCTGATGTGTGTGTGTGTGTGTTTTTCTGACTTACTTGGATGTGACATAGATGGGAACAATTAAAACAAAAAACCTTGGTTCCAATCTCAACCTTTCCGTACTTCCCTACCATCCATGTCCTGCAAAAAATGCCAGCCTTGCCTTCAGTTCGGCGATTGGCAGCAGCGGCGCGTGGGCTCATCTGGCAACTGTGGATGCATGCAACTGGATCCAATGTGTGTAGCGTGTTCCATCCGAAGGTCGTGCCACTTGGAAGCCGCTTAGGGAACCCATTCAAGGATGGTTGATCCTCAGAACACAATAAGAAGTAAACTTCGATCATCGATAACACTGGGTTGTGTCATGAAATGTCACGGACATCCACTTTTCTTTTGTAGACCCTTTCCCGTCGCGGGTTGCTTTGCTAACACAGTATCTCAATCATGCCCTTGGGCCAAGGCCTTGGGTCAAACATGGGATTAAGATGCATAGCCTAGCGACCATGGTTCATGGGCGCCCAAGCGAAGAATACCCAAAAACAGTGGACATTTGTTGAGGAATGATTCAATTTATACTAAAAGAAAGGGTTCAGGAGCAGGAAAACAGAGCTATCACGAGCACAGTCACTAAGACTTAAGAACAAAACCGACAATGTCAGCCAAGGAGAAACAACTAGTGTTTGACACTTTGGCCATCGAGGCATCCTTCACTTTTTTTCCAACCAGCACTTCAACAAACAGCATTGAAAATCTCTCTAAATATGACTGCCGACCCTGGCCCATGGGAGAACGCGCCAGAGTGGCCAACCGCGCGACGTTAGGGTCCCCAAGGATCCCAAATAAAAGAGAAAGCAACAAACCTGAATTCTCATCACAAAACCCCGTAACATAACATAACAGCATCTGGAAAACATACACCACCACCTCTCCGTCCTTTCATCCAAAATGACAAATGCAAGCGCCTCACACTGGACAACGGAATGGTACATTGCATTACACTGCATGACATGACATTACACTACGTTACGTTGCGTTACGTTACGTTGCGTTATGTTACGTTGCATTACATTACATGCATACGCAATTAGATACGTAGATACGTGGATACATCCAACCATCCAGCAATTACATTACGTTGAGTTACATTACACTGCATTGCATTGCATTGCGTTATATTACATTGCGTTAGGTACGTTACATCTTTTGCGTTGGATTTCATTATCAGTGCATACATTACACTACACTACATTATCACGTGGCCCTGGTGGGGGCTGAGGCGGGGGGGCTATAGACTATAGACCTTATGGCCAAGCCTTTTAGAGGGTGACTAAGCTATCAATTAACTATCAGATCAACCTCCTCCCCCCCAGGCCCTCCCAAACAACAAATGCACTATTTTTGGTGTGGCAAATTTTTGACAATCCGACGGATGGCGGAGAGATGTTGTTGTTGCAAGACGCAAATTTGCTGCTAAGGTTGGATGGGCTTTACAATAGGGCAAGAGTCAAAGAGTTGAAGTGGACGGAAGGTGTTCTGTTTTCCTACTAACATGCCAAATCCGAAGTCCAACGCGCCAAACAAACACAACAAGAAGTCCAAAGAACTATGAAACCCAGTCCAAGACAACGTGAAAGTCATAAAGCAAAGCCCAAGTCAAAGCCCAAAACTGAAGCCGAAGGCAAAGTCCAAGCCAGAGTCAAAAGGCAAAAGAGAAGTCCGACCACATGTGTGTTGCCATATCCTTTGTGCTGCGTGGTGCTGCATAAGGCCGCCGACCCCTACTTGGAGCAAGCAAGGCAAAGGCACCTAGGCTCTGGCAGCTATGGCTGAGAATCGCGGAGCATCTGCCACACCACTTTGCTTTAGGATGTGTGGGTTGCACGGACAAGTGAATCACCACATGTTCCAAGGGTCCAAATGTCAGAGACCAATGATCCAACACCAACACCTTGTCTTTTGGCTTGCTTTTGCTGTGAACCAGGCCTCAGGCTTTGTGGACCCTACTTGGAGCAAGTCCAAAGATGGCGGCAGCTCCAGTAGTAGGAGTTGGCGGCACCCGGGCGTTGCCCATTCTATATACTTGCAACAACGATATATCTATAGTCATCAAACAGTCTGTCTGGAGCATTATTAGATTGATCTACCTGCCTGAATCTACCCGTCTCCAAGGCAGCCTTCACCTCACCCTATTGAGTCAGTGGTCCAAAGGCTGAGAGTGATGGGTTCGGGGTCCCCATGTCGTCCCCGGCGATCAGCCCCCGCCTGCTTGGGGGACATCTGGCCCAACCGCCTGCACATATTGCCAAACCGCATCAAGCCTTTCGAAAGGATCCAAACAAGAAGTCCTGGCCCACCATCAAGTATATTATCCTACAGCTGAACATCTGCACAAAACTACGGGCGGTCAACCGAGGCTTTCCGGTTTTGACCCACAGACATGTCGTTGTACGAGTATATGATCAAAGGCATTGAAGTATTAGCCATTGCAACATTGGCCCATGGCAGTAAAGACCAGGCACGAGGTGGCTTGCCAATGCAGCCGAAGTGTGCAAGATCGAGCAAGCTATTTCTCTGAGCCAACCCTCTCACAAACAAGTTCAGCAAGTTTCTTCCCAAGAGGAAAGCTAGCACCAGAAATTGAATCCAACAAGTCTCACAGCAAATGGCGATGTTCTTAGGTGCAACACCTCACGGCGGCTTGAGCCCCAAACCTACACACCTCCATGCACTTTCTATGAGCCAACAGAGGTTGAAGGACCCTATAGACTATCCCCAGGTACCCCAGGTTACGGGTCCTACAAGGTCACTTAATTTTTTTTTGGAAGACCTCCACTGGCTGTGACAGCCGCCCACTCCAACCCCCAGCAACAGTTCCAACAAAAACCAAGGAGCCGTGGCCCACGCGGAGTTGGACCGGCCGTCCCGGAGTCCTGGGCCGCAGGAGTCCAGGAGTCCGCGAGTCGGAGAAACGCAGTGTCCAAGTAGCAGAACCACACCATATGTACCATACCATACCCGGTTGTACTGGGACCTAGGGTCAGACAGAGTCCAGGCACTGACACCCCTGGATTTGATCCACTCAGTACGGCCCCCCTATCCATACCATCATCCCCATGGTTTCGTATTCAAGAAATCTAGGCTCAGCCGCCACTGCACCCGAAACCCATACGATGCGACCGCGACTTGACCGACGCACGGCCCGCGAGGAAAGGCACCTGGGCCGAAGGAGGCTTCCTGGAACGGAGCTGCGCCTGGTAGCTGGGCATGAAAAGACACAAGACCTGAAACAAAGAACTCATCATAACAATACTTGTAAATCAACGGGCTTACCCTGGGGTTCAGGGCTTCCTGGAAGGGATTTTCTTACAGGTAGTTATAAGAACTCCTTGGACCAATCATGTAGCCTGTTGATGAATCACCCATACCAGAATGCTTTTGCATCTCCAGTGGAAGCAATGGGCCAGTGGGATCTTCTTGCTTTGTTTTTGGCGCGAAGCAAACCAGGTGAAGCTTGACGGCGATGGCGACACCCGAGCGGGTTGCGGGTTTTGTACAAATGGCGGAGTTCGCAGAAGCGTCAGAGGAACAACTATCCCATGCCAGCAGGATCAAATACTTGATCAATCACCAAGCTAGTACCAACTTGGTCATATTGGGCAATTGATCAAAGTCTATAGCCAATTGTTGCTCAATCACCTACCTTACGATACCAAAGCACACTCACATAGAAGCCCCCAAGGCATAAGAGAGCTTCTGACAAGACCAACCAAATTTGACACGGACCAGGAAATGCCATGAAATGCTCACCAAAAAACAGTGAGGCTTCCGCGAAACCCGCCACTTCCACCCGAAAAACGAACCCAAACCCACCGAATCCCGCCACCTCCAAGGCCTTTAGCTGCTCCTGGACCAAGGGCTCTTCCAACTGAAGCTTCCGCAGACTGGGCCGCCGACCGTCGGTCCCACGGGCGTTTGGCTCGGTCGCGACCCGGTGGGTTTCGCAACCCGCTGGGAGACGTTGACTCCACTTGCGAGTTTCCGAAGGTGGAGTGTCCATGAGTTTCCCCAAAAAAGGAGGGGAGCAAGATGGAGCAAGTAAAAGCACGTGGTGAGAAACGTCAGAGAAGAACATCCTACAGTGTATACAGATGTATACAGTATATCTATCTGGCGGAAATTGGTAGAAGTTGGACACTTCCACCTGGAACAACATTCCTCTTTTAGGTCTTGGTGTGATCTGCATTGTAGGGAAGGTGTATCTGTTCTGTCCAAAAATATCCTCATATGTTCGGGGAGAACTGCCTCTGAAAAGCTCCTGACAAGGCCTGCAGAACAGAAAAGCTAACAAAATCTGTCCCCGATGATCGTTTCAACATCCAAATCAGCCAGTTTGTTTGTCTCTATCCCCAAATTGTTTCCCTGGTGCGTTCCTTTCCTCAGCATGACAGAATTGTCTGGACACACCCACCTGGCCAACCGCAGGAGCCACCGGAGACGGAGCACGGCCTATCAAACCTATCAAGGCCTAATTGCATGGGCTCATCGTCTTCGCCGGGCAGCTCATCGTCCAACAAGGCCAGCTGCTGTTTGATGAAACGCTCGTAAGGATCGTCTTGCTCTAAAGCAAAGCGGAACTGAGTGGCTTCCGCAGCTTCCTGAAGATGGCGTCAAAAGGAGATGGTGTATTTGATGGTATTTGTATGGGGGGGCCAGTGCTTTGGGCGGGGATCAAACACCACATTAGAAGAAACACATCAAGCAAAACATGGTTCTAGCCCCTAGTCGTACTAGCCTTGCTGCATGAGTTTCATTGACCAAGTGGTCAATCAAACTCAGCAAGGCAGCAAGGCTAGCACTACCACGGACTATTTTAGTGTGCCGGTTTGCATTCCCGATCCCCCAACCACTTGTCCCACCCAACCAAAAACCGCTACCCCGCTGCCTGGACGTTTTGGGAGAGGAATGGTGCTGCCAGCATCAGGGATAATATACTATTATGTAAATAATGGAAATCCGTGCCACCTGACACAAAGAGATTTGGTATTAAAAGGATTCAAGACCTTTTCACCCTGAGCGACATCGGGCTCCAGTCCTGTCAACTGAAGATCTTACTTCTTGATATCAATCCTTGTGTCTAAAAATCTGGTCCACACCTGTTGAGGAGGCGTGTTTGGCGTTTTCTGCTCATTTTAGAGAAGCTTTCACAGAGTTGAACCTGATACTGGCCACAGGGCCACAGGGCCAGGTGAGACACCTCCAACCCACCGGACACGGAGACACCGTCTCTTCGCCTCCGCGGGCAGCGGGGCAATGCGCCCAGCCGTCTGCAGAGCGAGCTCCGGGGACTCGGGAAGCTCCAGCACCTCCTGACCTCGCCACGCGGCGAAAGCGGCGCTCGCTCGTGGGGTGGACGGAAAGGCACTGGTTCAGTGGAGTTGGTTGGTTGTGGACATGGGACCGGGCGATTTGCTTTCGGTTCGGTGGTTTGGAGGGATTGAACATTATTGTTTTGGCATCTGGTCGTTTTGAAAAGAATCAAACACTTCATGACATTCCACTGACACTTCAAAGTGAGAAGTCATAGCCACAGCTACTGTAGTGACTTTCTTCAGCCCCAAAGAATGAAATGGTGAAGCTATGGAGATTGACCATGTGTTTGCTGATCACGATGTCCGGTACGACTTTCACACGATGGTCGGTCAACAATGACCTGTTTCACTAAAGGACAAGAGAATCTTGGTGAGCAACCATTCCAGGATTTTGCCACTGTGCAAAGCTTCTGCCGTTTCTTTTCACCTATTTATTTGAAGAAAAACAAACAACAAAAACTCTGCGTAATGGCTAAGAGGCCCGTAGAATTGGTGTGTACCCGCGTTCGTCCCCAACCAAACCAGCACATGGGATATCATGCCTTTTGAATCCTTTTGATCATTCCAACTTCTCGTGATAGAATATATTTTGGGCAGCAGAAATCACAGCCTTGAAGTACGTATGACGGCATCATATGGCATCCTAATTTCAAGCGTTTGCGAAGAAGCACATGGCATTGGTGAGTGTTCCTTCAAAGCGTCCCCCTTTCCAGGACAACCACAAACTGCAACACTATTATATCAAATTATCTTATCTTAAATTCAAGTCCTTACATAAAAGGCAGATTCTATACTTGCAATGAAAAATCATCTAACTAGGCTGGCACATGGCTGAGAAGGTGTAAAACAAAAACTGCCATGCATGCCCGCAGCTTGATCATTGCAGGCAATGCCAATCTACTCAGATTTACTCCATTGGGACAACCATTGGGAGCGCTACTTGAAGGGCAAGTATACCCTGGAAGAGTCTCGAGCGTTCTGACAACAATGTTAGTTGTAAAGGAAAATAGATGAACATAATTAGTATTCCAAAGGTCCATGTTCAGTTTCCATGAGGTCCCTTCCGGGTGTAAAAACCCACCACACCGACCACGCCTGGCGTGCTTGGAGGTGCTTTCCCCGGCGAGGGGAGCCGTCCAGCGCTCGCCGCGCTCGCCGCGCCGACTCCGGCGCTCGCCACTCCCGCGCCCGCCATGCCATGGTCACAGATGTCCAGTGTGGCGGCGGTCCAGAATTCCTATGTAAAAATTACATATATAAATTATATGCATGTCATATGCATGTATGTTTTTCCATTGAAAACAAAAAAAGGCTTTCGAGGATTTTGGGTGCAAATTGGACGCTCACTTGGGTGGGACTCCCATTTCCAAAAATGCAAAAACAACGTCTTGCAATGTCCTTCAGTGGTGTTTAATGGATTGAGACATGTCGGCAGTTGGTTTTTGTGGCATGTTGCCAGTGAATATGTTGCAAGGCAAAGTATGCCGCATGCGTTTGCAAGTTGCTTGTTTGTTTGGAGCACCCCTTCGTAGTTGTGCTGTGCTCATAGTTCCACTTGTTCCTTGTCATGAAGCCGCCATTAAGGCTCGAGGTGAAGGAGTCAAGAAGAAATTGGAAGCATGGAGAAATCCCCTATGTTTAATCAATGCTTTATCTGACACTTTGCTCAACAGGTGTATTGAATGTGCCACATATAGTCTGACTCTCGCCTAGTCCTACTCAAAAGGTAGTTAGACTGGCCTCGAACCTGCGCCAAATGCCCTCTCAAAAGCAGCTGGGAGCCCTCACTCAATTATCAAATGTCTCACCTCCTTTCGGAAGCTTTGACACAACATTACCCAACAATCATCCTCGAGCACAAGTCCCCACAGCTTTGGCGTCAGGTGACTTCATGTTACTTCATGGGGAGTGCATAGGACGGAACATTCGTTTTGCACCCCACCGCTTTAAGCCCGCCATAGCCGCCCCCCCCAAGAGACGCCTGACAGCCTGTTCCGGCCACGCATAACGCCGCAGGTTTTGAGCACGAGCATGACCAAAACTCGAATAAGGCAACCACATCACGGTGGCCATCGTCACACCCGGAGGACGATTCCCTCGAATGGCGGAATCTTCGCCTCGATTCCCAGTGGAGCCTTGGAGCTGAGGCCACCCTTCGCCACCAAATCGTTTGTGGCGAGATTGGAGAGATCAGCTAAACACCTACTATGGCCCAAGACCTTCCTATCCATGGCCAACACCGGCATGGCGCACGCATCGGCGTCCGTCCGGATCTCGAAGCTACAACTGAAAGCTTGGATTTGACCGGACAAGAACTCATTTTTCTCAGGGTGTGCTGGGGACGGTCTGCAACTGGTTGAAGCTATTCAGCTGCTTCTTGAAGCTGGTTCTTTTATACCTGATTCAACCTGTCTGATCATTCATGGTCTTTCTCCGGGCTTCAGCTCCCTCCGCTGAAAATCCACACACACCGCTCACAGCGGATATGATCCAACCTGAGAGAGTCTGGCAGGAATCGTGGACCGTGGACAGCGCGTTTTCAGCGTGTTTTGACGCTAATCGTTTCGAGGAGTCTGCACCCTTGGAGTAGTTCCGAAAGAGTCTGCACCTGTTGGAAGGTTATCCTATTCTACTCGATCTCTCCGATCCCACCAAAGGAAGAGTCTGCACCTGTTGGAAGAGTCCTACTGTTGCAACACCAAATGTCCCTATCCTACTCTACCAACATGGGCCTTTGATGGGTCCTTCCTTCCACTTGTCCCACCAGCGAGGAAGTCTAAGGTCTTCCGGTCCTGAAGAGGAGTGATTTGGCAGGAAAGGTATGTAGCGCAAGTCTGATTGATCACATTGATCAAGAACCATGACTTAAGATTGGAGAGCTTGAGATAGGACAAGCCGTGCTCATGATCAGGAAGCTGGAGAGTCATCAGGAGAGTCAATGATCATAAGGATTTAGATGTAATTACTTCTGTCAGGAGGATGGCATACGTCACATACGGAACAGGTTGTGCCCGTCTCGCAAGGTGATATTGAGATGGTGGAATCCACGAACGAGCATGTGTCGCGTTCTCCTTTTTGTTTGTTCCTTCGTGCCGGTTTGGGTGGTCCGTGGTCCATTGGGATCACTATTACGAACATGAAATCTACGCACCTGAACCAATTTGGTAACCAATGAAATCAGTGGCCGAGTTCTGGTCAGAACGAACCGAAACGGTTCTGGTCAGTGGACCTGCCAGTCATCCCGCCACCCGTCGGAAGACGGATGCCGCTTTTTTCATGTGCGATCAAACACGTCAGAAGTTCCTTCTTCCGGGGGACACGTGAAGGACATCATGGTCCTTCCATCATGGCCTTCCTTCAGTGGTGGATGAAGGACATCGATCGGAAGACAGTGATGGGCTTCGCATCTCCCTACACACTCGCCACAGCTGGGCCACATCACCGACCCCAAATCGTTTGCAGCTCTTCGGCGATCGGAGGGATGAGTTCACCTGAAGAAGCCCCATGCATCCCACTTAAATGATCATATCAGGAACCATGGGCGGCACAATGTTACAAGTTACAAGTATAGTTATATATATATACAAGTATAATCAAGTATATAGTTACAAGTTGTTACATATAGTTACATCATAGTTGCATCTAGTTTCCAATTCCACAGTGGTAGCTTGATCCACATGTTTTCTTTCTTTCGCTGGACCATCATTTGACTCGTGTGGCGCGTGTTTTGCAGAGACCGAAGAAAGGATCTGACAACGGATCTGCCACACACGCCGGTGGCAGAATCGTGTCACATCAAATCATATCAAATCTTTGGAGGTGGGATTCAATGACTAGCCATACTGAGTCTGAGGTGTTCTTTTTTCTTTCCGAGTCTGAGGTTCAAACATGTTCAAACCATCGATACAGAAGACCACAGCTTGAGCACGCTTGTTCAGGCCCGTGCATTGAAATCATTGGTGCACTCTCAGCTGGAGTGGTTCCCCAAACACCGCCTGAACACGGACATCGACCGCCCGAGCACCCTGCAGAAACCTGGCCCTGAAAGAGCTCGGTTACCTGAGCAGCACGACCGCCCGAGCTCGGCCGATCAAGTAAATGAAAGGATTTAGTCCATAGAGGATCAAAAAAGAAAATTTTAAACACATTTGATGTGATGGAATTTCAGGAAAACCGGTCGATTCGTCGGTTCAATGTATTCTTGAAATATGGTGCTCCATATCGATGTGCATGATTCTTGCATGTCAACACTGCAAACGGATTCAGGCACTTTCCAACGTCAATCCCGCCCCGATGACCTGACGTTCTAACCGAACCGCCAATCCCAAGTTTAGCATGTTTCCACCCATCCAAGCAGGGCAAAACAAAACCAATCAAACACAATTTAAAGAAACACCATCAATCCAAACATGTCTTCCGATATCAATGATTCCCAATCTGTCAACGTGACCTCTTCCATGACCGGTCCAAAACCTGGACGGTGAGACGACCCCAACGCCGACGGTGAGACGGCCCCAGACCTGGCATAGACATTCCCAGTGGCTTGGACCTGCGGTGGGTGTTCCAGGGCGGTTCTCGCTGTCTGCCCAAGTTTGGCCGTCTTCAAAGCTGCTTGACTTGATGGTGTGTGTTTCCTTTTCTCAGTGTCAGGGAGTGTACCATGGAGTTTGAACGAGATCTGGATGCCCAAACGTCAAACTTGAAAATAAGTTCAAATCATGGGTATACTTTATGGTACTTTGTTCAATGGTATTGATGGAAACAATCGATGAAGTCCACACGGTATGAAGTCGCCCCAGCCTTGGAAGCTGGCTGGTCCTCATGTGCGTCTGCTGACCTCTTCCAACCCCCATTCTCGCCCTGGCCAGAACGCGCGACTGAGCATTATTCATAGCGTTTCTCGGTTCGCGAGAGACGTTGGCACGCTTGGTGGCGAAATCACTGTTGAATTACGAAACGGAGGAAGGAAGGAATGGCCCCACGTTGAAAAACAGCTACAGTATTTGTTCTTCACCTGGGAAAGCAACATAGCGTTGTAAGAATGTGTCCGTACTTTCAATCTGTTTCCAGAGCTTGAACATGCATACTTTCCATACGAATGATCAAATTTGGTGGGCAAACTATCCCAGAATGTCCCAATTGGACACAACTTCTTATGATTTGACTTGACTGATTAATTTTGACAATCCCCCTTGCTTGATATATTCAGTTGACCTTTTGCACTTTATGTCCAAGACATCAGCATCTGAAAAAGCAACAAATAAGGGGAATTTGTGATTAACAACATTTCATGTTGGTCATGCAAACGCCTGGCAGCTGATGCTCCACTCCCAGCGTTGTTTTGCCCCCGTGTTGGTGGCTCTGATCCAGATCCTGAGATCGTGAGAGCTCTGGCTATCCAATACCAGGGGTCAACTCAATGAGAGACACCTCAAATCCCAGCTGTATGTACAGCTGTACTCCCCCTCTGCCCCCCTCAGAACACCACCGGACCTTCCGCCAGGTGGACACACTTCCGTCGGCTCGGACGAATCGGACACATCAGGTGACGTGTCGCGGCTTCGCGGCGCTTCGCGGCGTCGCGGGTCACGGCGCCGCGACCGCGCCTTGTCGTTCTTCCACCAGTCCTGGCTGACTGGGCCAAGGTGGCTGACGGGTCCAAGCTGACTCCGCGAGCAGGTCCCTAGACCCCACTCCTGGAGTAGTGTAAAAGAGCATGCAGTGGGGTCTTGCAAGATAGGAAACGGCCCAACATGGAAAATATTGGAGGTAAACTTCTTGGCTGCCTGGCCATTGGCAGCCATGGCACCAGAGTCTGGTCTGATTTTGGTCAAGGACTGGAGTGTTGCAGGGTTCCAGGCCAAACATAGATGTCCGAACTCGAGCAGTCACAAATAGAGTTCACCCTTTCGGTGACTGCTTTTGAATGAGAGAGTGGCAGTCGTAAAATGTATGTTTAAAAACAACATATATTAGACTATATTAGTAGCCCGACCACTATCTTTACCACCACGCTTTGCAAGACTCCCCCTTGAGCCAAGCTCCCTATTTTGTTTTTTGCTGGCGACACGGCAGGAGTTAATTTATGCCTTCCTCTAGGACCAGCCCTTGCAGTTTCTTTGCTTTGTGTGTTCCCCTGCCTTCAGTCTAGCTCCCCTTCGCATTATTTGATCACGACACGTTGCTCCCCTTTACACATGCGGCAGCATTGAGCCGTGGAGGTCGGCGGCACGGCACACGCCAGCGGCGGTTAAATCTTTACCACCATGCTTCGCAAGATTCAACATAAATCATTGAACTTGGGTTTCAGCCCCACTCGCGGCCACTCGCACGTGGCCTGCGTACCCCAAAAAGAGGTCCAAAGAAACTGGGCCAGCGAACAAGTCGAGGTTGGCTGGTCTCGCAACACATCCACCAAAGCCCACCCAAGCACACCACCCCCTGTGCTTCTGCATCCATCTTGAGTTCAAAAGAACCGTCCAAACTCCTACTGTCCATGGCGTTTTTTTTCATTGTTTGTCTTCCACGCAAAGTTCAAGCCCTCTCTCTCTTTCTTTCTTTCTCTCTCTCTCTCTCCATGACACTGGTCGAATGGTCGGTCCTTGGATTCATTCTGATCCTTTTTCCACCATTCATCCTGACGAGATGGCACGACCAGGACCACGATCGATGCGGCGACAGCGGCGTGTCTAACAAATGAAAGTTTCAGGGAGTATACTGAGTATACTATTATATAAATATATGTAATAGTATACTATATATAGTATATATCACTATATAGTATACTATTCAGGGAGTATTAATAGTATATATAGTGAACTTCAGACAGATAGAATATTAAGGTGCATTAGGTAACACATAGAATAATTTTTAGAAGCCAACAGATAGAATTGTTCAGTTTTTTGAAGCCAGCAGATAGAATATTCAGCATACCTCAGATTCACTGCGCTACCTTTTCCCACCCATGACATGTGTTTCTTCAACTTTTCATCCAAACCTATCCAACCAATATTCTAAGTGTTTCCCCAAAAAGATATAGAATAATGACCTAATGCCCCGGGGGCATTAGGTAATATTCTAAGTGACTGCAGGCCACTATACTATATATATATATATCACTTCACCAAACTGATCACATGGCTTCTTCGGCCACTGCCAATTGGGTTGCGAAGCAGAGCTTCGAGCGGGCACTTTCCAGAATGACCCATCACCCGCCTTGTTGTTGTTGTTGGACCATTCATCCTTCTTTGACCAGTCGTCCTTTGACCAACCTCAGATCCGCAGGCCTTTGTCAAAAGTGCATCCCCGTTTCAATATGCTTAGCCTACAGTGCGTTCCCTTAAAGTTGAAATTTAGACTTGACCAGAATCCTCTATCTACGCAACATGTCTGCCCTTTAGGTGACTTTGTGGATAAAAAAGCCAGGATCCAGAATCCAGGGGTCGTTTTGTTGGGGTTCCAACATGTATTGAACGAACCTTCGATCTTCCGAGGGATTTTTTCGGTAAGGAGGGCCCTTACTGACGGGAAGGAGCTACGATTGTAGTTTCTGGATCCAACGACTCTTCAAACTACTTGAAACATCTTGAAACTATACTTGACATTGAACACATGATTTGTTTACCTTCCGTTCGTCAGCACCAACTCAGTTTGCCAACTTTCGGACTTTGAACACACCAGTTGGAAGCCTGGATCATTGGTTCCTGGGTATTGATTGATTTGGCGAGGCAATTAGTTAACACAGCTTGTGCTCACTTCCGGGTGACAAAGATGGCTGGCCGCCGACTCTGCCTCAGGAACATCATCCAACATTGATGTTACTATGCAACATGGCACTTGGACCCAATGAGTATTTCAGAATGCCTCACCCGAGTGGGGTCCACCAGGACTCTGCTTGGACTTTGCCTACTGCTTCTGCCTACCTACTTTGCACAGCCTGACCTTTGCACTCCCCAGATAATTATTGCTTTTGTTAGCAACAAACAGTGGTAGAAGCTAATTTACTATTTACTAGCTATTCGTGGGATAGGAAATACCGATCCCTATCTAGGCCCGCGACTGTCGGATTTTCCCTCCTCTTTCGACCATTCGTTGGCGCCGTTCCTCGGTGAACGTCGGCTGCGCCCTTCCAGTGTGTCGCACGGTGGCGGATTCGTTCGTGTCTTCATCGCCGAACGATGACCCCTCGGACGCTCGGGTTCCCGAAAAAGAGAGGTCGCCCCTAGACCGAAGGGGCCTTCGCATGTGAAACATGCACGACAGATCGTTTCATGGGTTCGGGGGCCGTGAAAAACTTGTGAAATACACCCCATATCACCCCATGCTTCAGAACAGCAATAGCAGGAAGATGTCATTTCTCAACCTGTTGATCAACTCCTGTCCCTTGGGAATCGCAACTGATCTGGATGTGTCGCAACTGATCTGGATTGTGAGAGCCCTTGAGTTGAAACCCTGGATGTTCACTAGGCAGTCATAAACCTGAACCGATGTACAGCTTAGCTCCTTTTCAGTACATGGATTGAATAGAATAGAATCAATACACCATGCTGCACTCATGTCAAACGTCCCTTTGCTGTTTTGCAAAACTCGACCGTGCCATTCATTGTTGACTCGGTTGATTGGCATTGACATGTAATACTGATGTGATCTGCCACAAGCCATCCGGCTTGGACGTGATCAGTCTGGAGGAAGCCCAAGTCTGAAAGCTCAGACTTCCCGAAGATCAATCCATACAACTCCCATCTCCTGTGCATGAAGTGGATGATGGTCAAGAAGCATGTAATACTGCATTGTATATAATTGTAGTCCAACAGGAAACCGACAAGTGTCGCGACAGCGTCAAGCACACCAAATCCACCTGCTTCCAACCTTTTCTCTTCATGCCAGCTCTCTTCCAACCCAAGAGCCAACCCTGGGGAAGGCACTTGTCTTTGTCCCAGCTCTCTTCCTGCTTCCCATTCTCGCCCCAGGATTCCTGACAACCATCGGCGGAATCGGTTGGATACCGACCACGGATCTGCCGCTTTGGTACAGGGCGGCCTTAGTACCAAAACTCGACACCGGCCAAACAAACATTGAGTCTTATAACTCATCTGCAACAAACACCGGCCACTATCTTCGTGAAGCTTGGGGGTCTTCACATCGATTCTTCGGCTCGACTCGAAGGGGTCGGGGTGACGTCGAAGGGGTCGGGGTCGAGTTGATCACCCGTCCGTCGCGGGTGATTGTTCGCCTCCTTGGAATCCTTGGAATTCCACTCCTCAGCGGCCTTCTCTAAGGCCTCCAGCGTACGAATTGGCCAATGCTTTGGGGTGGCCATGGCATTTCAGGGGTCTGTGGCTCAAAATGGCTCAAAATGGGCCATCGAAACTCCAAGGTAAAGTAATAATTATGAGAAATAAAAGTCGGCAAACACTTAGTTTCTGGGTCTTAGTTTTTGAGCAACATACAGATGTTCACCAAGTGCATGGACACTTGGGTTTCTTTCTGCACTTTCGGAAGACCTTGAAATCTATGACTATCATGGAGAACACTCAACATTAAGGCAAAACATTGACATCTTCCAACGAAACTCTTGGCCTCCCTCAAGTAACGTCATGTCCTGAACATGGGCATGGATTTCTCTCCTAGAAAAAACCCTGCACTTCAAAGTTGAAGTTTAACTTCGTATTTGCCAAATACTATGTTCGGCCTGTTAAACATCGCATTTGATAAACAGGGCCCGCAGCGCTCAGAGCCTGGATACCTTGTGCCAGTCTGCAGTGCTCCAGGGCAAAAAAATGTTTTATATCCAACCAAAGCTTGATACGTTTAACAAAAGGAGCTTTGCCGTGTTTCCGATGTGTTGCAAGGGTATTAATTGAGAGATCACATATCTTAAGACACAAAACAGAATCGAAAGGATTTCGTCGCCGGGGCTGGTGAGCTCCATGGCTATGAAGTTGCCAAATTCAATCAACTGGTCCGCAACAACTTTAGGAACAGGTCAAACGTGGAGTGTGATTTTAGAAACCTCTAGCGTGAAATACCGTGAAATGAGCGTGAAATGAGCGTGAAATGCGATGTTTACCCGTGAAATACCATGTTTAACCGTGAAATCAGGGACCCTGTTTCCTTCACACCCCTGGCAAAGTCCTGGACTGCTTTGTGGCCGGATGTGATAGATCACGGAGGGAGAACAGGTGAACCGCCCAATATACTGGCTTGACATCAGGACTTGTGAGGGCAGCTTTGCTATTAATAGAATTCTGGGAGCCATTTCGGGTAGTAGCAGCCTATTAGGATGGTCATGGAGTGTTTGCTTAGAGCAGTGATTGAAAAAGTAACAACTACGAGGAGTCAGTGGGGACACCTTCATCTTTACCAGAACATGTTGATATGGGATGATGGGAGGTCAAACATTGCATTTGCAGGTTAAACATTGTATCTCCGTAAATACTATGTTAAACTCCGTATTTGATGAAATGCTATGTTAAACATCGCGTTTGGAAATGTAGGGAGAAGACTCCCACGATGACCACGTGTACGCGCCTCTACATCAGCCGGTACTTCCGCTGCGGCCTGCAAAACAAATGCTCGGTGAAAAAGCACAGGCGGGACCCTGGAAGAGGGAAACAACCAAGAATGGGCAGGAACGCCTTATATAAAATTAAGTGATCCAGTCACAAACTCATGTCCATGAAACCCGGCCTCTGCCGTGAAAACACAAGAACATGACACGCTTCGGCTCGCCCTCCAAGGTTTTCTGCCCAAAGCACAACGTTGAACATCTTAGCCACCCCTCCCGAGCACCGCATTTCGAGCACGTCGCTGGCACGCCGTGGAGAAGCCCCACTGCCGCAGGTCACTGGATCTCGCCTTGCGCATGATCATGGCGATGTTCTTGGCCTCCGTCTCGTTGCCCCACTTCATCCTCAGTCGAACTTGCAAGGAACGAAGCATCTCGGGTCAAACATGAGAGGTCACGTTAGAGCTATTACTAGGGCTACTAGGGATCCCGAAACAGGATTTGATAACTCCTGACTACTTTGGAACTACTTTGAACAGTCACTTTCCGGGTAAGGACATTCTAAGCGATCGCATTGCGCTAGGTTGCAGAAAAAATGGTGCCTTTCAATTGATTTCAGAGGCTTTCTTCCCTCCATCTGTATGCAACTTATTCAAAGGACCTGAATATGTTGCATGATGGGGGGTTCAGGTGCGCAGCTGTGCAAAGCCGAGGACTGAAAACACGGTAGTTAGGTGCCATTTGCTCGATGTCAGGGCTACAGACCGCCCATGCGGACTGGGTCATCCTTGGGCGGATGGACTTGGGCAGTCCGGAGCCATGCTCCGCCGGAGCTTTCGACACGTCCGATCCCAACAGGTCTCATGACGCCCCGCCACCGACAGCTGTGTGGGCAGGACATGGATACTGTAAATAGTACGGAAGGACGCTTTTAAGTGATTGAAGCTTGGGTCCCCATGTACTGTACACTTACATCATGTAATTAAACTTTAAGACTAAGTGTTCTTCAAGGGTGCCCTCATTTGTCAATCTCTGATCATTTGGCCGCGGTTGACAAAATGACTTGTTGGCAAAACACTCCTTGCTGCATCCGCCAATCAAACACCTCTTTGACTACCTCTTTGATATCCTTGATCTCTTCAAGCTCGAACTGCATCAGCGGACATCAGCGGTCTATATATTCTGCATCATAGAACCTTCGCATGCACAAATGTCAGAGTAGAGTCCCTCTGGCAAAAGCGGAGATGATCAGAGGAATCCTCCAAAACCGGGATGCTACAAAACCTACCATCACTATCACGAATTTGAGCAAAAGACAGTGGATTTAGGAATTTTAGGGGGATCCTCCAAAATCGTTCAGCTCGGTGCACCTGTTTTCCCGTCAGATTTGTTTGCATTTGTTTGCCTCATCATCTGATGTGAGGGGAGATTGGATGCACACACGACACGCACGACACACTGTGACCCCGGCAGCAAAGTATAGGCCTCCCCTGAATCTTCGGCACGACCTGTGAAGACCAAACCCCACCAGTCTCGGGACGCCGGTGTTGCCACGTAAGAAAACCCACAGTATCGGTGCCTTGGCTTGTAGAAAGCTACAATTTCTGCCTCAAGAATTTAGTGGGTGGCTCTCTTGCTGTGAAACCAACTGAACTGCCCGCTGGCATTGAAATCAATCTAGCAGCTAGGGCCACGTCATGTTAGTGAAAATATTGGGTTACATGTGTGATAATGTCTTCTAATATTGCTGCTGCTGTTAATGTCTGTCCCTCTTCTATGACTATGACCCCCTCTATCGACAGCTTTGGGATGCACCCGATGTTGAAGCCATCTGCAATTGCCAAGATATCGGTGCGTCTTAGGATAGGGCTACCAACAAATGGATTCCCAAACAAATAAAAACCAAACAAATTGATTCTTAGAATAGGGCTACCAAAAAATTGGATTCTAGCATATTCTAGCCACTAATCTATAATATGTTGTCTTTTTACCAGGCTCCGGTCCGGCGGTCTGCCCTCTTCCAAGCCATATATGATGATCCCATATATGAAGCGCTGCAGCAAGACTGGTCGGTTCCACCATGGTTTCACATGGTTCCACCACTGGATGAAACTGTGCCAACGTCTTCCGCTCCTTCTGCTCCCAACGTCTGTCTCTCTCTCGCCTGTGCGTCCGATGCGGTGCACATAATCCTCTGCAGACTTGGGGGCCTTAGGACCAACGCCAGGTCCGCGGTGCGGTCCCAGGCGGTCCGGCTTCCCCAGCGAGTTGGCGGGGTGGACACCCCATGAGTTTGGGGAATGCGTTTTCCTAAATATGGTCCCTCTGAGCCTCTGTGTCTTAAATAGGTTTAAGGTTATCAACCAATGCACCCTTGACACCAACAGGCTACCAAAACCTGTAAAAGGCATAGGAACCAATGACTCTGACTGGCCATCCTTTTGTTTCGTCCAACACTCCCAGACTGCGTGAACTCTGACCAAGCCGCATCAAAGTTCACGACCACCGCGCAGTTCCGCACGTCCAAACCACCTGAACATCACAGGTCATCTGTGTTTGCTACAGGGCTTTGGCACTGATCTACAAATGAGCCGTCTCATCCTGCAGGGTGCACACAAACGTAGCAGCTGAAAAAGATCTGAAAAAGCCAAGGCAGTCCGGTATACCTTCCGTAAAATTGATCTATGAGTTCCAAGGGCTTTTCAGCTGCTGTGACGATGGAGGAAAAGAACTGGGCGACGGAAGGGCTTCAAACATGTTCTCTTCCTAGTTCTTCATGAACATATAATCGTTGTTCAATTTCCAATAGGCATGTTCAAAACCGAAACCACCTTCTATAGGCCGGCAGACTTTGAATTGATCAAATTGGTGTGATGACCTGGGCACCATGCCCACACGGCGTCCGTACTCGTGGAAAAAAAAAAATTGATCAAATTGGTGCAATAGATGGTCTTCTTGGGGTCCTGCGGGGTGGGAACATGCGTATACCGATATAGGGACCACCACTTCAAACGCATACCCATACGTATACTTATACAAGTTGTTGCTGCTCATCGACTATGCAACTGGGCACATACTGTGCATGATGGATATCAATGTATATGATGTATATGATATGCACGTCATTTGGATTCATTTGGCATTTCACGGCGGGGTCGTCGCCTTTCTAGAAGATTCAAAACAAAAACAGTTTCACTAGTGGACACGTCATTCTTCGCGCATCGAACCCACAACGTTTGGGGAACGCAGTGGGGGATTTCTCCCATTTGTGCTCGTCCTGACAGTCATTTGAAAGAAACTGGGAAGCGTCCGACCTGCATTGTCCCAGGTCCCAGCGGCATCTTTGGTCGTCGCGGGTTTTCTCGGTTTGAGATCCCCGACGCGACGCGAGGTCGGTCGCCACGAGCACGCGCACCTGGCGCGCCCAACAGAGGTTCCATACTATGGTTCCATTGATTGTTGAGTCAAATTCGGGATATGGTTCCATTGTTCATGGAAAACATCATCAATGAATCCAACCCCCGCCTCGCTCTATTTTTTTTCATCAGGGCTAGTGACTAGTGTCTGTTAGACGCACCAGATCGTTGGTGGAGTCATGTTGAGTCCAGTCAAACAGGTTCCATGGTAGTCGACTTGTAAACAACGAGAGGTGGACACATCTCTTCACCCAGTCTGGATGGTTGTTGGATGGCCAATGCATGCTAAGTAGGGGGTGTCTATACACCAAACTGGGTGGTGCTACTATTGGCTTCACTGGTATCTATTTTGGGGGTCCCTGGAAAGATGATTTACTACTTGTAGAATGAGAGTTGTGTGCAAGCCCTGAGCATCGCCACATGGATATTCGAAGATAGGGTTTGGGGTTCAGGTTTGGCTGAAAGACATGTTGTGAAGTCCAGGCAACAAGCCCAGCTGGCAAGAGGACAGCGGGCAATAACAATACATAGGGACATGACACGAAGAGCAAACCCTTTTGATTTGAGCATGCAATCTCCAAAGATTCGTATTAGAGAATTCTAACTCTAAACCTGAGAAGCTGCAAAACGAAAGCCAGCGCTTCCCCTTTTCGACAACTGCGCGTCGAAGCAAGCAGAGAAGAGGCATTGCTGCAAGGCCTAGTATCGCCATGGACAAAAACCGCTACAACCAAGTTCCTCAATTTGTGGGGCTCGAAACCCCTGCGTTTCGAGCCCCACAAACCCCTTGCCATGCGAGCACCAGGCCGCATGCGCCCACCCAAGTACACTTCGTGTGCTATGAATTTTTACAAGTCTGGAGAAGGAGGGCCGACGGGTACAGAACCAGTAGAGATTATCCAATGATCGGCGTTTTAGAACAGATCAATCAAGTTCCCCGATTGGTGGGGCTCGAAACAGTAGCGTTTCGAGCCCCACAAACCCCTTGCCATGCGATCACCATGCCGCATGCGTCCAGCCAAGTAGGCCCACACCACCGCGTAACCTCTGCACAACTACTTCTCTTTTAAAGCTTTACGTCGCTTGGCCACCGACTAGCCTAGACACCCTTTCCGTCATGTTTCTCACATCGCCTACGACAAACTCTTGGGACCAGTTGAAGGCCGTCTGTCCTTCTCTGTTACAGGCTATCTCGTTTCCTCTGTCAACGCCGATTACGCTGACTTCGCCAACCACAGGCGACGAAGACATGAATTTACATCGTGCTGGAGAGTCATGTACAACAAAGGACTTTAACGGCTCTTTTTACCTGTGCTTGGTCAGTCTAGCGACTTCTGATGACGTCAGAGATCCTAGCCATGCGAGGACCTCCAGTACCTCGTTCTTCCGACATGTTCGACTCTTTACGTCATTAGCATGCTTTTGTGCTATACCTCTTACACACCTGTGGATCGGTTGACGGAAAGGGAACTTGAAGTACTATACCTGGTGGCTGCACTATAGCTACCCTGGGTCTCTATACCTGGCAAGGTGCCAACTACACCTTTATTTTCCAGGTGGCCTGAACAGAGTGTTTTAGGGCAGCAAACCCTGGTCTCAGGCCACCTTGAATGTAGCTTGAAAACCACAGCTTTGAAGCCTCATGCGCGCCATACCTGGGAACAGAATTGTAGCTACCCTGGGTCCGTATAAATACTATGTTGCTATACCTCTTACACACCTATACAAGTTCAAAGCACGAATGGGACTTCAAAGCTGTGGATTGCTGTGCGTGTGTATACAGGTTCTCGAGCGGTTGACGGAAAGGGAACTTGAAGTACTATACCTGGTAGCTGCACTATAGCTACCCTTTCCATTCAGATGATGCAAATGATGCATTTGGCATTTCTTGCATCACCACCCCTCAAAAATCACCTCCAACACAACCTCAAAAAACCTTCCCTCGAAGCACCCTCCTCCCCCAGCATGTGCCGAGTTTACGTGTACCTTTCCCGGGCCACCCCCCCAAACCCCCTAACTACTCACTTCGTTCGCCAGACACAACTCCGCTAGCGCCTTCTACGAAGGCTGGCTTTCGTAATATAGCTAAACATGTTTCAACATTGATACGTGCCATGAATGGAGACCCTCAACGAAGCAATGGGGTTTTGGTCTATGATCCTTCTTCCGATGGTCTTTGGGAGGTCTCCGTATTTAGATATGCACCCATTTGTTTTGATCCGCGCCTGTTTGCTTTGCTGATTCTCAGGCAGATTTCTCCACTCTACCATGCTCTCATTGATTTGTCATTGCCTTCTCAGCGGGATTGGATGATTTTCTCAGTTCTGTTTTGTATAAGAAAACCCCACGTGAAGCCACCAAACCCAATAGCCTAGGATCTGTGTCCTGGGTTCGAAGAATCTCCCCCTTACTCCATTCCTCCCCCATAGTTGCCTGCTTCAAAACTGTGTTCAACCTTTTATTTAGGTCGATGTGACGGGGGATCCCCTGCTGACTCATCCGTCCTTTTTGGAGACCTCTTTCCGCCGATCGTTCGACCACCCCTCTTTCCGGAGTCCATGATGTCCATGTCCATTGGACATGATGGACTTTGAGTCAGGTTGGGGTGGGCCAACACCTGACAACACCTCCCGTCCCATGGTCTACAGTCTAGAGTATCAGTATCAATCACCTCAACGCAAATTGCCATCATGGCAGCACAGAAATGCATCCTGCAGAAGATGGACACATCCTTAATTGCGAGTGGATCTTAATCAGCGAAGTTTGAAGCTATCACTGACGGTCCATAAGCGGCGTAGCGTCGGAACGGAAACCGCACCTTTTCTAGTCGCTTGATCCTTGAGCCAAAGTACATATGGTACATGTATATGTACAAGTTGCACTGTACGTGTCGCTGCACTTCCATTCGCATTAATTATACACTGTACACTCCCAGAAATGATCCTTACACTCTTCTTGGATGACCATTTTCCAAATATGGAACAGGTGGTTTCCCACTTCCATGATCGTTTGGGGCCGTGTTGCACTCCATTTGACATGTTTGTTGCATGGCCGAGGATGCGAGAGGGTACTGGAGTTCTCTGGCGTCTCCCGTCTGGCACCTCTCCCTGCTTGAATCTGTAGAGCGCGCTATCCTGCAGCACAGGCCGTGTTTTGAGGATTGATTTCAGTCGTGACCACTGAAACCTCGTGAATCTTCTGCCGGATCATGCCTGGCGTGGAGTCGTCTCATGGGTGTTCTCAGGCTGTTCATGTAAGGAGTTCTGTCCCACCGACCTTCGTACTGCTCATGGTGTGGTGGGACAAAACTCTGACTTCCCCTCCCCACATCTTGTCATGTCTTGAGCTGGATCAAGTTTAGACTTACCTTCAGACGTCTCAGGTGGACTTGTAACACATAATTACATAACCTTGCAAATTCTACGTTCCATCAGCACTGAACTTATATAAGTTCAACCTTCAAGTGGAACAGAATTCCTTATCATAACACTCTTGTTCACCATGTCTAAACACAACGTTGAAGTGGAACAACATGGAACAATCGCCATAGGCTGCATATCTGGCCCTTCCGATTGACTCTGGACGCGGTTTTAGACCGAACGAAGGACCAACGACCCGGGTCACTCTGTGAGGTGAATGGTTGCAGGGCCACTCAGATTCCCAACATCCCTCAAGTCAGGTCATTTGGGAGGTCCAGGATGTCGCACTCAACTATAATACCAGTATGGTGTGTCATATAGAACTGATAGGAGGTCTACGTCCCTCATCCATCATCATCCCTCAACTCTTGGTGCCGACTAGAACCCCATCCGACGCGGATCCGGCATCGCACACGGCGGCTCCCCGCGATGCTCGCGGTCCCACGGCTCCGAACGCCCCATGCGGCGGTCCCTCTGCTTTTGATCGAGGTCGCCATGCAGCTCCACGGCGGTCATGCCTGCTCCGCGGAAACGGAAGGAGCAAGCCTTCATCCGGATGTGGACCGAACTGCAGCTCTGTAAAGAGAACCGAACTGGACCGGTGGACCTGGAACTACTTGGAAAACGGGAACGTATGGATCTTTTTGTTCTAGCTCTCTGACTACTTGGACTACTTGGCTTGTCTTGGACACTAAATTTTAAAGAATGGTTGCAGTCTGTGGGGTTGAGCATCCATCCATCGGCTCAACAAGGTAAAAACGGGCGGAAAATCAAGGTTCTCACAGCAATTTGCAGGAAAGAAAAAAAAAATATTTTTTTTAACTTTGGGATTCCCTAATTTTGAGACACAGGAGTTGCAAGGAAGTGTACATGCAGTATATATTGTTTTTCACGAAGAATGGCGCGTCTCCGAACACTCAGGGGCCAACAACCAACGATGGATCCAAAGAACCTCTTTGTTCCTTTGTCCTCGAAGAGAAGGTATGCCAGGTATGCCCTGGATTTCTGCGATGGAATTCAGAACTACCCAAGGCCAAGGGTGGCACCGCTGTTTTGTGGTAGATGGCCAATAGATAGCAGGCAACATGGCCTCCATGAACAACCCTGAAAGTTAGGTTACGTGGACCTCAAACGCCTGGAGGGTGATTTTCGTTCACAAGGGGCGGCAGAACTGACAACGGAGGCGGCATCAAGCTAAGGGAGCACCTATATACAAGAATTGGTGGAAATGACGCACCTGTAGTCAGTACATCATGTCGCATAGTTGCATAGACACACAAATATAGACATATACATACTACACGAATCAGAAGGGAACATGTTGGTTCCAAATGTGTCCGCTCCTGTGCTCCTCATGCAGTGCCACATAGCCTAGGTTTGAACATATTCGCCTCCACACAAACCTCTCGCACTCGCCTAATTCCGTGTCGCCCTCCAAGTCCCAAACCACATTGCCGCACTTCCTCGGGCCCGCAGATTCCGCGGCCGGCGTCCAATCCACAGGCGTCAGGGTGCCGGTGGTTGTGACCACACGCGAAACCCCGTGGCAAGTCTTGGATGCAGTTGTCGATGGATGAACATTTGCGTGAGCTTTTTGCCGCTTTCTGGTTTCCGATTTCTTTATCCACTCCTGCGGGTTGAGAGGTGCAATGCCCTTGTCCACATGTATTTCACTCATGTTCTCCCCAGATCTATAAATGCCACCTCAAGAACCACCTTATTCCACCACTCCCAACCTTAGCGACAGATTTCATCGGCCCCTAGGGCCTGACCTTTCATCGTTGAACCGAGAAGCTTCTTGGAGTTGCAAAACACCAGGCAATTGCCCCCTTGCGGCAAAGCCTTCAGGATCTCTTTCAACCTCAGTGATGCAGCAGGAACTGCTGAAGGCGTTGACATATATGTTGCCATCTATAATCTCTTTCTGGTTGATTCCAGTCCTGAATGCAGTATGAGCTTCTTCTGTTTGGCAGAAGCTGGATTGAACTAGAAGTTGTGATGGGCGGAATTTGGTTCAAAGGTTGCCATTTCAATCAGTTACATGTACACTTGTGACGTACAACTCGTCCCTATTGAACAACATCAAAACCTTCAGTTCCCCACTTATATTTGGTGATAATTCACTTGAAATGTCTCCAGCAATGGCTCTTCAGCTACAACATCAAGCAACAGCGTGGATGTGCATGTTTCAGAATTTGAATAGGGAGACAATTATAGGGAGACTTCCAGGACCTGGTGCTAGGGAAGTTTCATGAAGTGTCTCATGCTTGTCTTTCGTTTCTTTCTCTTCCCCAAGTGCTTCTAGGTCTACTAACTGATCTGACTCTCGGCTGAGCCGCCCGAACCCGCGACCCGAACCCACGAGGTCCGACGCTTCGAGAAGCTGCGCTTCTCCGCGTTTCTCCCCCTCAGTGGAGGCACGCAGTGATCTTATCACCCTCAGCATCCACCATCTTCACATGCTGCACGATGTTCTTGTTCGTGGTGATCTCACCCGAACCTCCGAAAGCAACGACCTCCGGCCGAAACGACCTCCGAAACCACGCCCATTTTTGCAACCCACGTCGCCCCTTTCGGGCGATCCAACTGTGAGCCCTTTGGAACTCGGTTTGGGGTGTTTTGGGGCGGCTCTAATTGTGGCTCTTTAATCTTTCACTCCACTCACAGGTTGCTCTAAGCTGACTCTCACCTTTTAATCCAACTACCGGCAGACTAACAGATCGCCGCAGATCGCCGCCGATCGCGGCAGAGCGCCGCACCTATTTGGATCTGCACCGGGTCCTCTTGGCTCAGCGGGCAAGCAGGTCCGGTTTCGAAACATGACATGTGTGACAAATCAGTCACCTCCGGATTGTCTTACATGACGTTATTTTATTGCACTACTACCAGTACATACATGGTCGCAAACACATGGATATTTGGATTGTTTCGAAACATACTGCGAATGGTGATTTGATCTATAATTACAAATACAGTCTAGAAATTACCCATTGCGGTGCTGGTATGCCAATATATCCCCAATTCTCTGAAAAAGGCACAAATGTTGCCTGTTCTCTGCAAAACGTCACTCCCACAACCCACTATTGCTCTCTGAAAGACCTGTTGGTAAACATGGGGCACTTAGTTCAATTCAAAACAAGTACTGCAAGCCCATATTGTTTTCAGTTTCGGCCAGCCAAGCAGGCGATCCATAACTTCACGAGCCTATTAACTCCTCATCACCAACAGGAGGACACCAAAATCACAAGTCCTGGTGGTTTGAACTCTTGGAGGCTTGGATGAATGACCTCAATTCGATTCGGAATATATATATATATATATATTTGTGTTTACAGCATACTAAGACACACAAACCTATTGAAGTCATTACACGCCGTCTAGCAACCCCTGGCATTGATCACCCCTGGTGGAAATAGTATTAAATAACCACCCGTATTTTTCGCATCAGCACACGGAGCCCCAGCTCCCTTCTCCGGAGACAGGGGCAGTCCCTGATGTAAGTTTCCGCCAATTTCTTGCACTCCTGCGACGGGAAGAGTCCCACTGGGCGAGACCCTCATCTCCGGTCCACTGAGTGGGGATAAGAAATAGAGGAAGGGCTCCAAGCGAAAGCTCAACTTGCTCTCCATAGTTCAGCTGCAATTTCACGATATGCAAGTAATTGTGTCGAATATTGATTAATATTTAAGTCTTTTCTGGATGTGATGTATACATACACAACATCATATCTATATAGCAAATCTTAAAGATATGGAGACAGCAAATTTGTGAGTTTTAGTCTTGTCAAAGAGTCTACTTTGGGGTGTCCTTGTGGCAGTGTGCCAAACTGCTGGGCTGGAGGGTATGGAAGACTAAATTCCTCCACCACGTCGGGCAGTGGGAAATTGCCCTCCACTCTATTGAAAAGGCTGGGCTTGCCACTTCACTGTTCATAGTTGAAGGGTGCTGTACTTGGCGAGATACTTGTCCTTGTCCTCTTGCCTCTTTATGATCTGGTTAAGCCCAAAAAATCATCTCGCAAATAATTATCTGGTTAAGCCATGTTAATTAAGCCCACAGATGACCAGTTGAAGGGTCCTGACCTCACAAATCATTCTGCTTAAGCCCTCTGTCCTACGTCTATTCCTCCAGTGGAGGCCCCACCACACCTCCTCCTTCGCCCCCACGGGCTCCGTTGACCACGGATGACCCAGGTGCCCTGCTGTTCGCGAATCACAAGCTCAGAGTTCGGCTCTCTACTAGTAGCTTCTGGTTAGTAGTAATGGCCCAATGGCCTCCAACCTAATAGCGAATGGTCTCCCACCTAGTAGCTTCTTGCTACTAGTCATGCCCTAGCTCACAGTTCGGCTCTCTGGCTTCTTCGCCCAAACTCGCGTCGGTTCCAAAAACACGCGGTCGATGACGCGAGACGCGAGGGTTCCTGTGGCCAGGTCGCTGTGAACATGCAGGTCTGCCGCTCGCTCCAGGGCACCTAAGACTGTCGACCGTGAGAGACCATATTGAACGGGACCACAGCATATTGTGGATACCCCAGTCTATATAGGCGGATATATCAACAAGTGGTGGTATATGCTGATATATCAACAAGTGGTTGATTTCTGGGTCGGGTGGATGTGGCAGTGGTGAAGCTGGCGGGAGAACCGTGTCAACAGGGAGCCCGATCGATCCTCTCCAAGCCACTCAAAGGGTTTGTCTGACAAGAGAGAAAAAGAATCAGGGGTGGACCAACCTGCTGGACCAATCAGGCCTGGGTGCCATTGACTTGGCACCCATTGACCCATTGACCAATAGTTGCCTCGCTTTCCCTGGGATTTTCCGCCTTAACCTTTATAGGAGAGTAGCAAAGGGATGTATATTGCTTTGGTAACTAATTATATAGATCCACCAGACCAGGCACAGGACCGCAGCAGTTACACTGACTGAGGTACGTTAAGAGTTAAGACAGAATAACACAACATGTTCTTTAAAGATGTAGCGGTGCTGCAACTTATAGCGGATATTGTCGGGGAATACAGGCCCCTTGGCCACCGCTATCGCGGAAGGTGTAAAGCTGAGTGGGCTCAGCAGCTATGGATGGTCCTAAAATGAAGCTAGTCAAGAGGGACCAAGTTCGGCAAATACATTATTACATGAACTCTCAGTGCTACTCTCAGTAATACATACTAGACTCTCAGTAGATACAAATACAACTCCTATCGGAAGAACATACAGACATTGTATCATACCGTTACCTTACGAACAAATACATGCCTTCCTTATAGAAAAGCAACCACAACAATATTTTAGCCAGACATTCAGGAGAGGTTTGAAAAGGATTGCTGTTTGATTTCTTGATGCCTTTGAGAGAAGAGCATACATGGCCACAGGACCTGTATATAGGTATATACGTATTATATATCTATCGCACTATTGGGAATGCGTTTCACGGGGCATCTAAATCTCCAGTGCCTCGTCCAGGATCTGCTTGATCTGTGGCTCGAAGCCCATATCCTGAGCCAGTGGGCAAATGGAGATCTTTCTGAGGCAATCCCAAAGGAGAAAGACATTGCTTTTCCATGTTTTTCTACCGCGGTGCCCAGTGGTGCCCAATCAAGATCCAAACATATCCAGATCGTTCCAGACTTAGAATTGCATGGCCTAGCGTGGAGTAGTCCTGGTATGTCCTGGTGGTGACCCCTTGGAAGTTCAACGTGCATTGTTCCACCTTGTGCCCGTCCTCAATCCCATGGACCCCAACCATATGCACTCGGATTGCAAACCCAAGAAGAACCGCCCACCTTTCTTCCCTGCTACGGACCACCCTTCTTACTTCGAAGCAACATCACTTCCCTCTCTTCCCGTCGCTTTGCCGACCACGCTTCTTCCGGGCGTCCGGGCCAGCATCCGGTCGGCTTCGTCGATGATGCAAAACCTCACCTGGTCCAGCCCTGACAGCGAACCCGACGGAGCGCCGACCGAACGGAGGGGGGCACGGCTCTGAAAAGGAGAAGGGGAAAGCGCAGTTCGGCGAAGCGTTTGGAAGCAGCGGAAAGATGTGGAAAGGATAGGACTTGGGATATACTTATGGCATGTAATTCATCTGACACCATTTTAAAGAAGACCACCTTAGCTACAAACAGGATCTCCGGCGGTCTATCAAGACCCAGTTCTGGGGCGTCCCACATCACCTGATGTCCGGAGCATCCCGTCGGTTTCGATCCCTAACCGAGAGGTTGGCATCCCTGACGGGGCAACAACATGTTTGGAACAGTGAGGAAGACACAAACGCTTCCAACATATATCAACCCTAAAGCTTAGGCCCTAAAGAGAAAGCTTATGCCCTGAGCAACCCTCACCCGACAGCTCGGTCTCCCCGACAGACGTTCTTCTTCTGAACGAAGTCGTTCAAACGCCCGGGGGTGGCGATGAGGCAGTCAGGGCCTTGTTGGATGGCCTCATCTCCCGGCCACACGTTGGGACCGGTGCCACGCAGCGTGTGAACCGTTCGCGTGCGGGTCCGGGGGGGAACAGGGGTTTGGCCCACCATTCTGAAGAAGGAATTATGAGAAACATGCTGATTCATGATCTCAGGTAAAGACAGGCAAAGGTTCAAACTACTTGGAACAGATGTAAATACAAATGACTAAGACTATGACTATGATTGTATTTTGCAACAATATGCAACAACTCTATTATATACTTATATGGTGAACATCAGTAACATCACACAACGGAATAGTCACCCGGGAACTCTTGACCGTTACCGTCGACGTGGGAGATCTTTGGGATTGTTCCGAACGACGGGCTTGCCGGTCGAGAATGAGCAGAATGATGGGTGCTATGCACACTCGTGCTCACGCGTTGAGAGAACTGAATTGCCATGAGTTGCCCCTCTCGGCAGCTCTTCGAGCCAGGTTTACATCCACAAGCCACGTTTTCATTGATTCTCCTCTCCACATGCGTCGGAGTCTCGAACGGACGAGCGGTCTCGAAGAATCAGAAGAAGCCATTCGGCTCTTCAGATCTCTTCAGGTCTTCCGGTCTCAACCCCCCGTCGGTCAGCGCATGTCAGCACGAGGTACTGAAGATCGCTCTGTGTAAACAAAGGGGGAATAGATGTCTGCATTATTGCATTGACCCCCGAAACCATCCGAATGTTGGCAAATGGGTCATACATGGATGGTTTGGGTGATACAAGTATAGCTAGAAGCTATAGCGGTTGGAGGTCATTACATAGTGGCAAAAAGCTACTATGTTCCCCTCTCTTCATCCACCAACCAAGGGTGGAGGCCCTGATGCGTTGGACCGGTCTCGATTCGTTGGCCCGGTCGGGCTCCGCTGGGCTCCCCTGGCCCACTCTTGATCCCTTCGATTGGCTCCACCGTAGGCGCACGCAGCGGTGAGCTGAACCTCCGGGTGCGCTTCGGAGCCCTGGCCCAATATCCCAAGCTGATTAGGACCTTGGGGACCGGGAGTCCAACTTCTACAACTAGGAGTCAGGGTGTGGAAGGATGAAAGGGAATGAACATGGTATGTCTCTTTCTCTTGCTAAACTAAATGTGACTCAGAGAAACCGAGTCCTATGATTGATGTCTGTAGTCCACGCTCCGTCTTTGGCATCCCCCAAGTCTAACCCATCAACCAGGAAAGCCTGTAATTAGGTATTCAAATGAATTCAAAACATTGAGTACAAGAAATGTTTGAGAATGTAATCGATCCTCATTAAATGTTCTGCAAACCTGTTCGGAAAAACACGGAAAGCGGAGCAGCAGCCCCACATCCCCAACAGAACCCACAACATGTCTTGTGAACAATGGGTGAAAATTGCCAATATGATAAAGGAGATGCCTCAGGATAGCCGCAGTCTGACAGCAAAAGACCACCGTGGCCTAAAAAAGTAACCTACTTATAGTAGTTGTCGGACCTAAGTCTGTCATGGGTTTTACCGCAAAAAAGTAAAATAACAGCAGCAAAAGCCTGCAACATAGATCCCACGGCCCCAATCACCTCCAACATACCCCCACGAGAAGTCTCAAGAGAGCCCCAACATTCGGCGAAACGTGCCAACATGGAGAAGGATATACCCTAAGAATGCACCAAAATCGCCGAAGATTGGCACAAACATGCCCAAATTTGACCGCCCATTGGAGCAAACTTTCGTAAGTAACAAAAATGGAAAAAACTGTCAAAACCACCTTTCTTACACTTGTCGGACCTAATTTTTCATAGTTTTTACATGTTTTTACGGTGTTTTACGCACACTACTCAAAAGACCACATGCCCAAGTCAAACGGCAAAGAGAAAGCAGCCAAGTGGACCAACATGACCGCTACGCAAAGCCTTCAACATAGCCCTGATCTAGACCCCACGGCCCCAATCACTTCCAACATACTTCCACGAGAAGTCTCAAGAGAGCCCCAACATTCGGCGAAACGTGCCAATATGGACAACGATGTATACCCTAAGAATGCGCCAAGATCGCCGAAGATTGGCACAAACATGCACCAAATTTGACCACCCATTAGAGCAAGCTTTCGTAAGTAATTAACAAAAATGTAAAAAACACACAACTGTCAAAACCACCTTTCTTGCACTTGTCGGACCTCATGTTTTCATAGCTTTTATGGTGTTTTACGCCCACTACGCAAAAGACCACCTGCCCAAGTCAAACGGAAGAGAAAAAGCAGCCAAGTGGACCAACATGGCCGCGGCCTCAAGAGAGCCCGTAATTTGGGTGAACCGTGCCAATATGGAAAAGGATATGTCGCAAGAATGCACCAAGATCGCCGAAGATTTGCACAAAAATGCTCTAAATTTGACCACCCACTGGAGCAAGCTTTCATAGGCAACACCAAGCTCTCAAAAACACCTTCCTTACACTTGTCCAAATGTTCGCGATACTGGTTATGCCGCCTGGGGAACACTGCATTATTGACATTGTGGGTGTGTTCGTCCGGAGCAAGCTTTCATACGCAAACAAATTTTAAAGGACAAAAAGAAGCTCTCAAAAACACCTTCCTTACACTTGTCGGACCTCTTTTTTTCATTGTTCTTACCAGTGTTTTATGCACATTGCCCTTCAAAGCCTTTGAATGCCGGAGAACAAGAAAAACCACAACAATTGCCTCCCGTGCAGGCAAAATGCAACTTTTTGAAGGCAAACAAGCTCAACACAAACCCACCCAAAGCCACTTTTTACTGTAAATTACAGTGTTTTATGCACCTTCGAACATACGAAAAAATGCCACCACGGTCAGCTTGGCCCCCCCCCCCCCCCCCCTTCCCTTTCGGTAATACTTCCAAGCGCTACAGCGCTTTCCGTCATCTAAAGCCACCACTGAGTAACTATTGTTGATCGCTTTCCTCTTCGGGTAGGCTCTGCGTCAGACGCACCGCTGTCGCGCGCCAACAGGTTTTTCTGCACCAAAAACCATACCGAGAAAAATCTGATTCCCTCGGTCGCCCCACTGGCTGGCCGAACTTCTCCGTATCCGAGTAGATCTGGTGACACCTCAAATTGGAGATTCGGCTACAGCGCCATGAACGGCACATTCGTGAGTTTGGCTGTACTGCACACCGCGGGTGAACCGACTGTGGAGTGTTGCGTGGCCCCTCTTCGCGGGGCGCCACGAAGCGTCGGGGCGAAGAAGGCCCAGGACCCGAAGACTCGGACGAAGCGACGACCCTGAAATGATCTACTATAGGCATATAACACATGATAACACATGCATGGAAGGCCATGGCAATAGAAGTTTGCCTCGGATTGGCCGGAGTTACGTAAATAAAACACTAACTACACACATATATATAAACACACACAAGAACATGGGCTGCACACGATTTACAGGTGGTCCATTTATGTCCACTTAGCATACCAATATCACCGAGCAGCACACCGATGGAGAAACATGGTACCGTATATCAATGGTGTGGCTCAATCTCTCTCTCTCTCTCTCTCTGTCTGTCTCTGTCTCTGTCTCTGTCTCTGTCTCTCTCTCTCTCTCTCTCTCTCTTTCAACAACAACCACAAATCAACAAAAATGCCTGGTGGGGCCAGGGACACATCAACCAACTGGGCGGCAGCAATGGACGACACAGCAAGAATTCTTTTTTTTGACTGCTAGGAATTGGATACCTCAGAAACTTGGTCAAACAGACCACTGGTGCACTGGCCCAGCCGTACGATTTTCTGCATCAAATGTTTTTGTTGCCTTGCGATTAGCACCTGCAAGCCTCATAAGGCTTTTCCAGTACCGCTTCAAGTAGAGTGTTGTTGGAAAGCCTCGGTGTTATCATCACTCCACCCATGTTGCTGAATCCACCGATCCACTGAATGCCCCGGCAGCTCACGCGTGGGAGTGATGCATAACAGGGCAGGCCTTGGAGAAACACAATGGGCGAGAGCGGAAAGGGCCAGGAAAGAGTGCTGCTCCGAACAATTGGTGCCTCCCAATACAAAATACAGGTGGATCACTCCACCAATAGGTGGATGCCCAGGTGGATGCCTACTAGGTATTCCCATGTCCCACCAACAGGCTAACAGGTGGCTTTGAGACGCCCTTTGTTTGCAGGAAACATGGAGGCTGGAGGTTCGAAGTGGACGGAAGGCCTTGGCCCGAAAACTTCTTGAAGGGACTCTCCAACACAAGCTGCCTAGGGAAAGCATCATAAATCTGGCCTTCCTTGGTCCAGTTCTACTCAATCAAATGTCGGCTCAGCAACTTGCTACATCTTGCTACATGCAAGTAAGGCGAGAAGAATCCAATTCCAACCCATGTGCCCGTGGGTCATTTGCCGGCTCAACCCTTGAAATAAACAAAGCACCAGGGTCACGGGTGCCCTTCTTCTTCGTCCCTCGTCTGTCTTCTCTTTGGCAAATCGGCCCGACAGGATAGGATCGCTCTCTTCATCGACAAAGCCTGCACTCCGACCCGCGCTCCGACTGCGCGTCCGACTGGGTCCCCCCGGCCCGCGCTTGGTGTCCACCTCGTTAGCGCGCTTCAGCTTCCTTGACAGGCGGGCGCTCTTTTCGGGTGGCTGGTTTCGTGGCGGCAACGATCCGTGCGCGGTTTAGGCGAAAGTCCTTTGAGTCTCCGTTGAGCACAAACAGTGGAATCTGCGCGTCGACACAGGTTGGGTGCATGTAATATCATTGAATCATGTAAACTATTAACGATTAATGTATCAATATGTAAATATGTATCATAATATGTATCATGTCCAGCGCGTGACACTTAGTCCAGCGCGTCGATGATTCAAATACCCTTCTGGTTACGGAAAGGATATGTGTTTCGCCTAGAAATAGAATGGGTCGGTCCTCATCGGTGACGCAGGTTTTGGTGGGTCAGGGTTTCTGGGCATCGGATCTGTTCAAACCAATTTGCCACTACAAACACAAACCACAACAGTTCAAAGGACCAAAAGCTGTGGAGAACAATGACGTCCCCGTCTGAATCCAGTCTCGCCTCAAAAACAGCTCATGTTGCCTGGCCAAGGGTGAATCCATGTGAATGGCTTTTGATAGGTCTCAAACCAAGAATCCATGTACGAAATAGTTATATAAGTTATATACGTAAATCTACTTACTGTATCTTAATGTTACTTGCACGGGTCATGGTTCATCGGGTGTTACGGTATGTAACTATTCCACCCCCATGGATGATCTGGGGATGTAAAGGTTGAGTTGAGCCCCAGTGGTTTTTCTCCAGCTGAATCTGTAGAAGTCGATCTGTAGATCGACCCTCCAGGGCAGATCCTTTGGTGAGGACCATTCCAGTGAGTTCTTCTTGGACCCCTCACTGATCCCTCCTGCACGGTCTGAGCTTGAACCTCTTCAAAGGTCTCGAATTCCAGTCGTTAACAGCCACCCCTTGACCCCCAACCAAGAGGCCCAACGCAAAGCCAACGACGCAAACAGACGCGCGTGTGCGCATGGGTCGCTGCGCCTCAGCTTCACAAAGCCCGGCAACAGAAAGGCCAAGGTCTTTCCACTGCCTGTCTTGGCAACACCTCGGCCAAGGAGCCGGGCACCCGCGAGACATCGTGACGAGATGTAGACCTCTGTGGCCACTCGCTTGCCTGCTTGCCACCCCGAAGCCCACTAGCAACCTCCAAGTGGGTAGATGATACATGCAAAGTGGTCCGTGATCGGTTTTGAGTGCCTCCGCCGAGTGTCGAATCAGGGTGTCGATTTATGATACTCATCATAATATATACAGTATAATACTTATCTGTGTTTAGTCTTTGGAGCCGCTGGTGATCATACTATGAATTGAAGGTTGGATCTAGAAGATTAAGGTGGCCATTGCCTTGACTCTACGAAAAGTAAGACTGCATCCAGTGAGCATGTCGGAATCATTTCAGTTCTCAGAAGGAATGTACATATAACATCATATAACATGACTAGAAGAATCGATCAGCATGGACATTGTGGTACATTTGTGTTGGGTTGGGGCTACGAGAAAAGCCACTCTAGACCCAAAACATCCCAAAACTGGGACAAAACCTGACATGCGGTGGCACTCTTCGGGAAGTGGCACGACTGCAGTCGCCAAGACCACGGCCTTCGATGACTCAGCTCCCAACCAACTAAATCTTTTCCAGACTGCAGGACGGGCCATGCATAAGCCTGGGCCAAGACCAAGGGTGCCAGGCTACTCCAGGTTGGGGCACCACCCACCTAACCCACGCAAAGAGTGTGGTGATCTTCCTTGGACCACTGGTTTACTGCTGATTTTTGGAGGGTGATTCTTGAAAATATCAAAAGCCACAAAAGCGACACAAAATCACCTGAGCCTCACCATCTTCACCCCTCGCTGAAAAAACCATGCCGGCTGCCTGCACAATGGTCGGCTGCTGAAATCCGCAGCCCTCACTGTCAGTACTTGTCTGGAGGAAGGCGATCAAGCCTCACAGCGAGGTTTGTACATGGGAACACCACCGAAAACGAAGAGAACTGTTATAGTGGGTTGAGAGTAGATGGCACAATCCCCAAAAAGGTGGTTTATATTGACCCCATTGGACCCCTATATAAAAGACATCTTGGGGTTTGTGCCATCTACTCTTAATCCACTGTATTACATAAGTTTCGCTCAGTGAAGGTTTCTGCGCGCACTGTAGCCCAAGAACCGACCCATATGCTCGTGGGGGATGTCTATAACCGCTTTCCCAGGCAGCCTCGGACATGTCAAGGTCCTTGACCAAATCCTGCCTGGTTGTGAACATCAAAGCAGCTTTGCATTAGGGGATGACTTTCACAAGAACTGCTGTTAGAAATGCTTGGATCAAAGTCCTTGATTGCAAAAAATACCAGTGTTTTTATCAATCCTTTTTCGATCTTCCAATTCCTTGTGGCAAAAACACCCTGGACAAAAGGCCCCAAGGAAACCCCAGTTGCTGCCTTTCCAAGCTACGGCCAAAGGCGCTTTCACTTCTTCAGGGCTCTTTGGTACCCACGCTCGAATTTCCATATGTCGCATGTGATTGCAATCTCTGTTCATACATGTTTCGGCATGTCCTTTCAATGGTCCCCTGCATCCCCTCAAAAAGACAGTTCTGAGAAACCAGAAACAATAGCATAGGGTGGTCAACCATTTCCATGTATTTTTTATATTGCATAGGGTGCGTCCTTCGTCTGCGAAAATTCCGACCGGACATCGTCGCCTCCTGGGAAGCCCTTTCCTCAGATGTCGTAGCACGAAACGAAAGGGACTGGGTGGGCTTTTGGTGGACAAGGCGGCACCCCGTTTCCAAGGTCTTTTTAGGTGATTCACAAGGTTTGCCCGTTCCGAGCTTTGCAAGAGGGGTTCTGTTTTTATGTTGTTTTTCGGGAAAAAATAGTACTGTTTTATTCCAAACAGCTCGAGGATACTACTTCCTTCACTCGACTGGATCAACTGGAGCAGCCAATGGAATCGTTTACCCACTATAGCCCCTATATAGGGCCAATAGTGCCGAGCTCTGAACGAAGACATCTTCTGGCTAGGCTTAAACCAAAGGCAACGGTGACACTTGTGTTCAATGTGAATGCATCATTCTGCAGCATTTAATCTTCTTAGGAGGGATATAATCTTTATAATATATATATATAGTATATTTGTTATTTGTTTCGTCTTGTATTAACCACGCAAGTTATATATACGTACTGGACAATCTATGTAGAAAGCAAACAAAGTGTATAACAACCACAATGGACAAACAAAACACCACCTGAAAGTCTGGGAATACAAAAACAGGATGACTATCACGTTGCTTCAAGGGGTTGAGAATAATTTTGTTATTGTCCGGTATCTTGGACAACAACAAACGAATACCATTGTGGCCCCCAGGAAATGGCCCAGCCTGGAGTGACACTTATTTGAGAACGCATTGTTGAGACATTCGTGGGAATGTTATTTCTGCTTAGGGGGATATGAATCAACTGCTTGGCTTTACACGTTTTCTCATGTGCTTCAAGCAACCGGCCTTCGCTCCATCGGCGTTCGACGTTTCGTGCCACCTGAACAGATCACACCACGTTCTCCCTGGGGCTCCCAGCGTTCTTTCACCTGGTTGCAACACATGCACAAAAGAACACGGAGATGAACATGCACAAAGAAAAACAAAACTGCACAATAATGATGCACAAACAGGATTCATAAACCTCCCCTGGTTAATCCGGTCTTTGCATTAACAAGGATGGAAAACAGCCAACTTCCACGTCACATCACGTCACGATATCAAAGACTCCTTGCCATGAACACCATGATGTTCCTCACCAGTGCCACACCGGTGCCATGACGCCGGCCGCCTTGTCCCAGTGATCCCAGGGATCAATGGTGCCTGTGATCTCCTGGACGACCCGTCCACCCGTCGCCGGGCCGAAGCCTTCGACTCCCCAGGCACTCCACAGAAATGGCCAGGGGTGGTTTTGGAGGTCAATGGGGCGGCATAGATGGCAGTCCCATGGAGTGTGCTCTGTGTCTCCGGTGACCGAGGTGAGTCGACTTGACGGAGGACGAAAAGGCTGAGGGAGGCCGAAACGTGGGAGGTGTTCGAGGTTTGCTACATTGTTGCTACCCACACAAAGCTTGGTCAGCTCAGTAGGGGGTTCTGTTAGTTTGTCGCGGTGAGTATGTCTCAAACTTACTTGTTATGTAGCATCTGGGAGTGTTGAACAATCCCCTGTCCATTCCCTTCTCTCACCCATGGTTTCTTCTTAGCCATGCAATCCATATATTCCATATAATCCATGCATATAATTCAAACATGTATATACTGGACCGAATACTACTGGACTTCACCTGACATCACATACGGCCGGCCGGTGACACGCTCCGTTTTTCACCAGCTATGTTTGAAGGCCGGGGCTGCAACCACTCACCGTTCACTCTTCTCCCGCCTGATTCCAGGCATCCCATATTCTCACCTGAGGATTCCAGCACAGGGGAGGAGGTTCCAAAAAACGGCCGCCGATATATACCCTTCTGACCTGACGGGTGGTGGGTGCCCCACTCTGCTGGTTTGGAAGATGGATATGACTCTGCTGGGGGTGGTGGGTCAGTTTCTGTGTGTTCTTTTGCGGAGTATCTCGGTGCACGCAAAATCATACCCTTTGTGTGCGGACCTGGACGTATTCCCTGGTCCCATCTTGGCATTGTTGAATCGTCTTGAAAACTGCACACACACAAACACCCGGTATATCTGTGCAGGATATGGAGCCTACGCACAGGTTGAGACACTGCAACATGGGGGTTTCTCCACAGCCTGTAGCAGTGTAGCACTAGTCCTCAGTGTCATTCGAAGGCCAAAGACATGGAGTTCTGGATTGGGCAGCTCATGCAATGCCAAGGGGTTTTCTGTGGCAGACGCCTATATAGACCCCAAAGAAGCTGAAAGAGTCTGGCACAGGAATGTGCACTCACCTCCTACCAGACTTGTTTTCCCAGTTCGAGATCCCTTTCAAGGCAACCACTCCCCCCAGGGCCTGTCGAGACAAACCGGTTCTCTCTTCGGCCCCCGGGCATTCTCATCATCCGCCATGGCGTTTTCTCCGCCCCGCCGTTCCCCGCCGTCACCCGACTTGGACCCCTCGGTCAGCCTGAGGTGTGACACCCAATGTGAGTGATGTGAACTGAGTGATGTTGTGATGTGATTTTCTGGTCATGCGCAACGGTCAGATCTGTGGGGCAAAGCCCTGCGTGCCATGTGTGTACTATGCGCAAAAAGCATCCCCTCTGCCCGGGTCAGTGGAGCCTGAGCGGCGAGAGAAGAACATCATGGCCATATGATGCCATATGCACTTCCTTTCGGAGCAACTTCTATTCAATGGAGCCTTTAAGTGTATGTCTGGCAGGTGAATCTTGACTTCCACAGCTCGAAGACTTCGGCCTTTCAGTTTTGAGTCTCCAAACGTCGGCTTTCCAACCAAATCCGAAGTGGGATGCCTCCACGACGTCAAAGCATCGGTGTTTCGACCGAGTCTGACCGAGTCTGGCCTCACTTCTTCATCATCCGACCCAAACGCGCGTGTGTTCATGACCCAAACAGTTCTGAATTAGATGTTTTGCCATGCTTTACATGATTCTACGATTTGATATGTCCCACATTGTCTCACCAGGAAACCCACTCACCTTCAATTCAACGGAAACCGAAAGTCGTCTGCATCGCCAGCGCTTGGTTTGGCCCATTAGTCGTGCTTCAGCTTGATGCTCGCCGCGCGCGCGCCGCGGAGCCGCGCTGGTCGGGGCTCAGTTTGGACCTTGAGGACGAGGACTTGAAATCGGCCGGTCGTTCGGTTGGACCAGGTTAGAGCTTTTTAAGTTACAAGTGACGGGGTGGTTGCTTGGATGTTGTTGTTTGTTTCTGTTTTACGTTTAAAGCATGTTCTTTGTGGGGGCCCAGGCATCCCAGCCGTAGAGTCTGGGCTCATTGGTGGTTCAAGGGGAGGCATGTGGAGACCTACTGGACCTACAAATCCGCCGTTTCGTTGGGGTGATCCATTAGATAGATCACATGACCCAAACTATCTCCAACCAAAGCTCAAAGCCTCATCTTAGCCCCCGACCCATCCCTTCTCATTGAGAAGATCTCGGTCCACCTGCCGGGAGCGTTCTAGTGAACAAAGACCCACTTTCATTGGACATATATTGTGGACATATTGGGAACTCCCAATCAAGTGCAAGCATCCTGGCAGGAAGCAGAAGCCATAGACCGCACAAAGACGTCCAAAAATCGCCGTAGTGCACAGGTCCAACAAAATGGACCAAAGCATAGTAACAAGTGCATCGCTACTAGTAACAAGTGCATTACTACTAGTAGCAAGAAGCTATTAGAAACAAGTGCCACGCTACTAGTACAGGTGCCTTACTAGTAGTAATAAGAAGCTACTAGAAACAAGTGCC